GCTTGTCTTTATGTATAGAAAATATTTATTTTTTCCTAAACAGTTGTTCATGGGAGATTGCAAGAAGATGCCTGAAAATGGCATGGTAGACCTGAAGACCAGATCCTTCTCATCTCTAGATGATACAAAGAGAAATGTATTGGTGTTGCTGAAGCCTCATCTTTTCTGTGAATCTCCCACAAATGCTTGTATTTTTTCAGAAAAAAAGAAAAATCTAAATTCTTTTTTTTTTTTTTTTTGGTACCAGGAATTGAACTCATGACCTTGCACTTGCCAGGCAGGTGCTTATGCCACTGAGCTAAATCCCCAGCCCCAAAAAACTAAATTCTTTAAAAATCCATCAATGCCCCATTATCATATCCTGAACACTTGTGATCCCTATAGCAAAATCACTCCCTTACTGATGGATGTGGAGAATGAAGTATAGGAAGAGTGAAAACCAGCTTCTTTACACTGAGCTACATCCTCAGTCTTTTTTTTTTTTTTTTTGAGATGGTCTCATGAGGTTGTCTGGGCTGATCTCAAATCCCTCTGCTATAGCCACCCAGAGTACTGAGATCACAGGTGTGTGTCACCATGCCCAGCTTTCACTGGAAGTTTTTATCAAGGGTTCATGCGGAAGGAATGAGATAGGAGACTAGGCTGGGGAAGTGGCTGTGACCTGTTAACTACAAGATCCAGGACTCAAAACAGTTCCCAAAGTCCTGCAGTTGAACTTGTAAGAACTCCAGCAGGATTTTAATAGACTGTCCAAGACCTGATATCAGCCTGAGACACAAGCTGCCAACGCCACATCTTAGGACGCATATGCGTATGTTTTGGGGGTTTCTTCAAGAGTTGGACAGCATTAAAGGAGAGGGGAACCATCAATAAGCACTTGATAGCATAACTTTCCACGACAGCCCATGCTGTTTCCCAGGTGCAGTGTGTACTTTTATCTGGCTCTGACTCTCTTTTTCTATTTACTCAGCCTAAGTTCACCCTGCAGAGCCAGGCTGTCTTCCACTCTTTACTTCTATTTTCTTGAATAAATTTCATTATGGCTTTTTCATTTGCTTCTTTCAAAACTTTATGCAAGATGAGAAAAATCTAGAATCCAACCCCAGAAGAGGCAAGCAATCCCAAACCCAGTAATGTTTAGCTGATGAGACACTTTTTAGAAGCGAGCTAGCTGATAACTGAAAGAGATATTATTTCTTGATAGACAATATTACATTTATTAGACTTTTAGAGAAGGTACAGTCTGGCAGTTAGTAAGTCTTGCTGAAGCAAGAAATGCCAGTTATGAAGGCACCGGCCTGTGAACTCGGCACTCAGAAAGTTGAGATAGGAAGATTGCTGTAAATTTGAGGTATTCCTTGGCTACAAAGTGAGTTCAAGAGCAGCTGCCCAGCACTTGGGAGGCTGAGGCAGGAGGATCACTGTGAGTTTGAGGCCATCCTGGACTGAATAGCAAGACGTTATCTCAGAAACAAAGAAACAAACCAGTCTGGATGGATAAATAAATAGTGAAGTAGGAAACAAGGTAAGAATGTGAAATATTTGTAACTATGGATGGAGAGAGACAGAGAGACAGAGACAGAGAGAGAGATGTTATTTGCAGGAGCAGATCTTGTGGGGAAAAAATTCTAAGCAAGTCTCTTTGGATCTAGTTGGAACCCAGTTAGGTAATAAAACAAAACCAATTGAGATGCTCCTAGTGGCATAAACCAGCAATGGCAAGTGAGGCTGGATTCCAGTCCATGAGTCCAGCCTGGGCAATTTAGTGATTTAGTAAGATGCTGCCTAAAAAAGTGTGGGGGTGGGGGGAGGCGGAACTGGCAATGTTGCTCAGGGTGAAGATCCCGATTTTCAATTCCTAGTAACACACAAAAGAAGGTGGGGGAGAAAGGGAGGGAGAGAATGAGAAAAGAGGAACAAAGGAAGGAAAGAAGGAAGAAAGGAGAGAGGAGGGAGGGAGAGAGGGAGGGACACCAACCAACTGGAACAGAATCAAGCATAAGTATATGAATTTTAAATAAAAATTAAGGAACCACCACGACAGAGAGAACAGTGAAATGAGAAAATAACACTTGGGAAAGAGGAGACAACAATCATCTCCATAAAAAGGAAAGGTGTGTGACAAAGTACAGATGAAAGGGGAAACTTGGCTATGCATCAAGAATGATTTATGAATAGTACATGAAAATATTTTCTTAATATTCTCTTGACTTTTAGGAAAAGCTACTTTGAATTGAGAGTGTGAGAACTAGCAGGCAAGGCTCCACAGGAGCAAGACAAAGATCACTGGTGTTCACGAAAGAAAATGAGAAAAAAGCCTCCAATATCAGATACTATTTGTTTTGTTTTGCCTTGTTTAGTTTTGTTTGTTGCTGGCAACTGAATACAGAAATAAGCAGAGGTTTTTTCACTAAGCTACACCTCCAGCCTCCTAATAGCTAGTTTTTAATGTCCAAGCACAAGGCCTTGAGCTTTGCTGAAGCAGAAAACTTCTAGGTAAAGCCTAGAGCATTGAAGAATTGCCAGTCACTGGAACTGGAGCAACACGATGTCCCAGCCTAGGGATGAGGCAAGAAAATTTGTTCTTTCCTTGAGGCTTTGAGTAGGGGACACTTCCTAACAGTACCTGTGAGGAAACAAAATTGTCTGAATTTACAATATTCACATCATTCAGGAACTCCAAACCAGAGAAATTATTATTTAAAAATATTCTAAGATCTTTAAGAGGCAAAGAATTCTGAGCAACATTTAATTGCTCTAAAGAGATACAACTCAGGGCATCAGACTGACATAAGCAAACAGTCTCACAAGGAAGAATAACATAGGAGGAAATAAATCACTATGAGCAAAAGTTAGCAGACCTTGTGAACAAGAGTTAGACATTCAGAAGATAGACATAGCAGAACTATCTGTAAAAGAAGGTAAAATAAAGGTATTCAGTTTGATTAAAGAAGAAAAAAACAGAAATGATGATAGAAGAAATGATAGCATTCACAAGAGGACATAGTTTTAAAAACAATATTGTCATTGAAATTAAAATGAATGGGTCTAAACAGACCCCACAGGAGAGTGAATATATTTACTGCCCTTTCTATCAAATTGTGCTTACGTGTGCTTCTTCCCAAATTTGTAACACATTATTCATGGTGAACCATAGTTTAAATACTATGGTATTAGAAATAAAATACTCAAAATATGTATTGCCTTTCAGTTGTTTAAGAATATGAACTTCCCTTTGAACCCCAAAATTCTCTCGACAAAATACATCTTCCCTTTGTTATTTCTACAAATCTTTTAATCTTTTCTTATATCCTAAATTTCAGGGGGATAGGCTCCACTCCCTGTGAAAGTTATTTTAGCACTCTAAAATTGAAAAAATACAATCAGAGCAAGAGGGGTGCCTCTTAATCCCCTGGACAGTGGAAGACCAAATATTTCTCCTAGCTCCTGTTCTGTAGCTTTTTCTGTGTCCATGCTGATGGGGCTATCTCCTCCACAGGGACTAAGACCCTATGAACTCAACAGATCTCTCCATGGATAATCACTGTCTGCCAGTGTTGACAGTTCTAAAAAAATTTGCTCCACAGTGATGAGACAAGACCAGAACTCTATTTCTATTACGTCTACTCTACAACTTAGTTTCCAGCCTTCATCTCTGCAAGTTATCCTTGGCTTTGTGCTTTGGTGCTGTTTGCTAACCTTTACTAACCTCTTCCTCACAGCAGGAAGAGTCTAAGTCTGCCATCAGTGATTTCCTCAAGTCCCTCAGTACTATATTTTGCAGAAATTCCTAGTATGTGTGGCAAATGCTAACATGAAAACTGATAAACAGCCCCACTTCAATAAATAATTGGGAAGAGTTAAGTGCATATAGTCTTAAAACATTCCAAAGTCCTTATCCAACAAAGGTGTATTTGCATAAGTTTTCATCCATTTCACTTAAAGATGTCAACTTAGATACTAATCTACTAAAGTGGCTATCAAAACTATCTTTCTGCTTATATTTTTATCCCAAAGAACAGTTAATAAAATTTGAAAACTCCACATTAACATTTGTTGACAAATTAAAATCTGTTCATGTGATGGAAAGAAAGGGCAAAGCTGAAAGTGAACGTAAGACTCAATGAAGCCAAATGAATGAAAAGCTGTGGAATGTAGGGCATACAAGAATCAAGATAGATAAAAAATATCTACCTAATTAAGGTTCGTTTATTATTCATGGGCATTTACACAGAACAAAGAGAGTGGTATATCTGAGTAAATCAATGAATTCTTAAACAAGCAAAAAACTCATTAAGTGTATTTTACTCTCTTGAAAGATAATTTCAAAATACATGCTAGTTCTTGGTAAATTAAGACTGGTTCACTCAGATTACTACAAAATTAGGGTAGGGCTGAGAAAGGAACCTTAAAAAATATACACCCACTGCTACAGTTTAAGTGTGTCCCCTCTAAATTCAGATTTTGAAATCCTACCCCTCATGGTACCGGTATTAGTAGATGACCAGTGGGATGAGTTAATCTTTATGAAGTAGGTGGAAGCGCCTCTGCCCTCCCTACCAGTGAGGACCCAGCTAGAAGGTGCCATCTCCAACCAAGAAAGCTACCCTCACCAGACAGACTCCATTAGCATCTTGTTTTTGGATGCCTGACTCTACAACTGTGGGAAACAGATTCTTATTGCTCTTTAGCTATCTAGTTCATAGTAATTTGTCATGGCAGCTCAAAAGCACTAAAACATCTAAAATTGTACAATGGTTTCATGTTTTTTCTTCCTCACCTAAAGCTAATCCCTTCCTTAACTCATAAAGATCAATGTGCTTCAAACGTGAATAAACTTGATTATTTTAAAGGAAAGAACAATACTCACTGACAACAGACTCAGTTCTTAGTACTACAGGATTCTGTATACCAAGCATATTATGTACTTAAAAACTCTTGCGCTGGAGTTTTATTGAAAACAAGGTTTTCCTCCTTTATCTGTGATTTAGTTTACTCACCTGTAAAATAAGAACAGTATCAGAGACTTCACAAGATTGGTGATGAGGAGTGCCAAAAGCTTATAGCTGTATATACAGTCAGCTGTGGTAATGGGCTTACTGAAAAATTTGCTGAAATTTTAGGTCTTCAATTGCTTCTACATAGTTTTTCAGAGTAAGCTGGATAACTGTCTTGCACCTAAACCCTGCTCTACACAAACTTTTTCCGGGCTGAGTACAGCTCTAAGAAGCCAAATTCTGTTATCTTCTCTGCATATGAAAAGGCTGGTTGGTCAGAAATCCCAAAAGGCCACACCTTCCTAGCCCAACAAAACATAGCTTGCACTTTTCAGGAATCTGAGCGGTGCAAGAAGATACACAACTTCTATAACAGAATGTAAACACTAATGGAGACACTCGATGAGACACAAGCTGTACCTCGGCAGAGAGCTGGGGACAGCCCCGCCCGGCGCTTGAGGGGCGGAGCCAGCCAAGCCGGAATGAACCCGTGGCTGAGCGGGGCGCAAGGAGCGGGGGAGATAGGCGGGATGAAGTGCGAGGCCCCGCGGCAGAGGAGCGGAGCTGCCCAGAGAATGCCGGACGCTGATGGCAACATGTATTGCTTTTTTATTCAGCCCCCACGCTTTCTTCGTTGTAGCCTGGGGTCTGCTGCTGTAGAGATTCTCTTTCTTATCGCCCTGTCATTTTGATCCTTCGATTGGATACAAAAAAACAAAATCGAAAATCAGGCAGATACTAGGCACCAACACAGGAAATATGTTGCGGAGGCGGGGTCCTTCGCTCGCGCCGAAATTCAAAGGAATAAATTGTTCCGCGCAGGTCTGGGGACTGGGGCTGGTGTTGTGTCCGCTATGATCAAGTTGGCCTCGTAACCCCCTAAGCTAAGTAAGGTTGGCTTTCTCCCCGCCTCTGGGACGGAGAGAAGCTTTCTAGGTGCCCCAGGCACAGGCTGTCTGCGCAGCACAGAGCCGGCTGAGTCCAGGCAGCGGGTTAGGCCCGGCCTAATTGGGTCGGCGGGAGGTGGGAAGGGCGGGAGGCGGCATGTAGCTAGGAAGGGCTTAAGTGTTCATTAGGGATAGAGATTAGTACTTCTCTGGTCTTGCAGTGAGGCGAGGCGGTATAGAGTGAAATACAATGGAAGGGAATCAAAGGTCTGTGCACAAGCTAGTGGTTGGAAAATAAGAGAGTCATCTTTGAAAGTAAAGCGGTTATTTGAGATACAACAAAGATCCCACAGGAACGTATAATGGCTTGGAGAGACATGTCAACCTTAAGTGTCATGGAAAGGGAGTGAAAGGTCCAGTGAGGGAATGAGTGGTCAAGAAGGACCTCTAACATAAGCAGGTCTTAAGAAGCATCTGAGTGAGATTTGCGCAAAGAATTAAGTACGGTAGCATTAAGGAGCCACGCCAATAGTAGAAGAGCACTGGGCAAAAAGAGGGTAATAGGGACAGTAATTAGTTGTCTTTGGTGCGATAGCCAGAATATGCTAAAAGTGGAAGACAAGACTGCAAGAAACAGGTGCAAGACATAAAGACTTTCCAGTTAAGTGGTTAAACTTCTAGATGGTGGTTAGCTGTTATATGTTTTTAAGTATGAGGGGGCCAAACTTTAACTTGGAGAACATAATTGGGCAAGTGTCTTTGTCTGTTGTCCTGCCATTCCTGTTTTAGTGTAAATGCTCAGTATAATTCTATGTTTACATTTTATTTTGTAGAGACTTAGTTTGTGGTTTGTTTGATTTCCAGCGGAGATTTATTGGCCCAACATAGTATCAGAAAATGTATATTAAGTCGATCATTCTTGAGGGATTCAAGTCCTATGCTCAGAGGACTGAAGTGAATGGTTTTGACCCCCTCTTCAACGCTATTACTGGTTTAAATGGTAGTGGAAAATCCAACATACTGGACTCCATCTGCTTTTTGCTGGGCATCTCCAACCTATCTCAGGTAAAGTGTAAGCTTTCTGATTTGTATGAATCTAACTTTGGCAAGTGAATCCTGACTAAACAGTGGAGAATATTGCTGATATTCTCTTCATTTACATATCTGTACTTTTATATGAATTATTTTATACCTTAACACAGTCCTTTAAAGAACGATTTATTATTCCATTTGTTAGATGAGGAAGTGGAAACTTAAAAGGGTTGCCTAAGATCTATCCTATTAAGATGTTTGGAAGTAACACCCAGACTAGGAGATTGTGGTTTTAAGGCAGTCTCATTTCACAGTGGATACCATCTTTTTATTCCCCACCTGTAGGGTAACTGCGCCTTTTTAGCATATACTAATGGCTTGGATGGCTAGTAAAATTCATAGGCACTGTCTTCTTTTAAATTTGCAACTTAACTTTTGTAAAAAATTAATAGAAAACAATTCAGAGTTGGAAGGGTACTGTGAAGAAAGGCACCCATGGAAGTCTTCCTGTTGTTCTTGCTATCTTTGCCAGTGAATATGATCATTCTCATCTACTCGGTGATTGCTAAATGAATGGGTTTTCCACAGCAAGAAACCCAATTTTGATGCTCCCTTGTACAATATGAGTTTTTATGATTAATAAACTTCATTTTAGGTTCGGGCTTCTAATCTACAAGATTTAGTTTACAAAAATGGGCAAGCTGGAATTACCAAAGCCTCTGTATCCATCACCTTTGATAATTCTGACAAAAAGCAAAGCCCTTTGGGATTCGAAGTTCATGATGAAATCACAGTAACAAGGCAGGTGAGTAGCTCTTAAATATTTATGTACCCTAAGAACTTTTAAAGGCTGATGTTATCTGGCATTATGGCTTTGCAAAGAAGTGTGGGAGACAGTTTATGAGCAAAATTGATGCATCAAATATTAACTAGAATCCTTAAAAATGTTGTACATAGTCATGCACCGCAGAATTATGTTTCATGATAAAGAGCATTCATGACATTGGTCTCATACGATTATATCATCAAGTGATGTTACAACTGCCTAGGTTTGTGTAAGTAGACTTAATGTTTACACAGTGCTGAAATCAATTAACAGTGCAGTTCTCAAGCATGTGGCACCTGTCATTAAGTGACTTATGAATGTATTAAAATTTTGATAATTAAATTTCCAACATTAACTAAAGACTGAATGAAATGTGTAACGTCTTCCATCCATTGTAAGCACTCAACTGTGTTTGAATCTTGAACCATACTTGCATCTTCTCTGGCTGTGCTTGAACATATGAGTTATCTGAGACCTTACTGTCATCTAAGATAACCATTCTATTTTGGGAAAGATGCTATTAAGGATAGAAAACTTATGTGTGATTATGTAACTAGTTAGCAAAAGTGCCTAAGTTAGAAACTAGTTGTCCTGACTCAAATTAATAATCATTTTGACCACAGCACACTTCTTCCACTGCCTGCCCTGGATTAGTTTTGATTATGGTGAATTGGACTGAACAAATAAGAGCAAGGTAGCATATTTTATAATTTATCGTTTATATTTTTTAAAATGCTTCCTCTTTAGGTGGTTATTGGTGGCAGAAATAAATATTTAATCAATGGAGTAAATGCAAATAACACCAGAGTACAGGATCTCTTCTGTTCTGTTGGCCTGAATGTTAACAACCCTCATTTCCTCATCATGCAGGTATTTTGGTTGAATTTTCTCTATGTCCTTCATAATGGTTTTATTATATTCTTAAGTTATTGCAATAGGATGAGTGCTCTTTAGTCTGTTTCTTATTTACATTTTTTTTACTTTTATTTTCAGTTTTAAAAGTTTTACCTATTATTATGCTGTGCCTGGGCACCTCTTAAGAAATACTATTTATAAAAATGTGTCAATAAATTAATTTAAATTATTGAGTTAAGAGCTGGGGATATAGGTCAGTGGCACAGTATCTGCCTGGCAAGCCCAAAGTCCTAAGTTTGATTGCTAGTACCAAACAAATAATTGAGTTAAAACATTTTAAGATTTTAAACATAAAAATCTGAATAATTTTTTTCTTTAGAGATGTAGGCAAATGAAAAGTAAAGACTGATATTATCTTGAATTTATTACTTCCCTTGATTCATGCAGCTGTCCTTTGAGAGAATCACAGCAGGGTCAGAGGTGGGATGCGCCTAGGACCATGTGTTTGTCTGGTCTTTGTTGGTATAACAAAATCAGACTTGCTAATTTTAGAAAATAGAGATTGTTTGGCTCATGGTTCCGGAGGATTCGAAGTCCTTGAGCGTGGGTTAAGCATCTGATGATACCTATGTCATCCTGGGGTGTGGCACAAGGTTGAAGGACTGTGGAAGTAAGCAGTGCCAACGGCTCCTTAAACACTACCCCACTCCTGCCATCATGAATGACCTTGTGACTATAGAGCACTCTGACCTAATCACCACTTACTAGGTTCTGCCTCCCAGCACTTGAATTGGGCATTTCCAAGATGTGAACTTTGAGTAGTCCATTCAAATTACACCAGTAAAAGTATGTCCCCATTTGAAAGCTGGAGATTTCTTCAAATGAATCTATATCCCAATTAATACAATTCTCTGAGATTTGGGTGTTTTATTTTGTGTGATTTGATAGTGAATGAATTCAGACTATTTTTGGCATTGTAGTAAAATATTCCATCTGAAGTTTAGAAATTTGTCATCTATTTTGTGAAGTTATCTTGAAGGTCTATAAAAAATTGGGAAGCATTCACTATGCTAAAATTTATGTACACACTTGTTCTAGAAGTAAATGTTTCAATGTTTCTAATATTAGGTGATCTGAGTTAACTTTGTTTCATTCAGAAAGTTATTTTATTTATAGCATGTAATAATTAAAGTAATTGATATAACTGGTAATTAGGAAAGTGAACAGCAAAGTTTCAAAATTCTGAAACTGTAAAGTACCTTAGGTTACAAATTTAATAGAAGTAACATCCTTTCATGTGTATAGGAAAAAGACCTTCTGGAAGATTAGTGTATTGACACATAACAGCTGAATAGATTACACTGAATGCCTTTAGATCATATTTTATGTAATTTGCTATCATCATGTAAGTTTTCTATTTTATTTTTAGGGTCGAATTACAAAAGTACTGAATATGAAGCCTCCAGAGGTAAAGAATGGTATTTATGAGTCAAAAGTACTAATTGTTGATTTTATTTAAACCTACTAAAGAATTAAAAATACTACTTGCATTAAAATTCTTGGAAACATTATGTAAGAATGTCAATAAAAAGTGTAGGTTAGCACTGTGGTAGTATTCAGATTTTGACTCTGTAAAGCAGCCCTTAACTGGTATGCATGTCGGGATTAATTTCTACAGAAAACATGACAGGAAAAGATTTTTGTGAAATTAGTTTTTGTAGAATAGATTATTAATGTACTTAGTTTCTTTTGGAACTATCTTGAAAAGAGTTGTAATGGAGGAATTAATCTTTTTTTGATTTAAAAAAAGATTAAGATAAAAGAGAACATAACAACACAGGTCAGAACAGAATAATTTAAGCAACATAGTGTTTCACCACAAGATAACCCGACATAACAGTAGTTACCATAGTGTCTTTTTCTTTGAAACATTTGAGTATAACCTCGTATACTATAGCATCAAACATATCGAGTCAGTGTAAGAGAATGAAAGTATTACAGGGTATTTAGAACCAACTAACAGAAAACAAACAATAGTTTCTATATTATCTCGTCCATAAAAAATTTTGTTTGTACTATCACATATAGTAAAATCTATTAAGATACAACATGATAAAACCGATGGAGACAGAACAAAAGCTTGATGGGACTTCAAAACAAGCTGATATTAAATCAGCACTAGCTATTATAATGTCTTGTTTTCTTCAGAATAACTGTTCATACTATCACAGACAATAAAGTCAATCTAGAATAAAACCATTCCAGTTAATGAATGAAAACATTATAAGACTTCAAAACAATAAAATGGGGAATCATGATTACCATATACTTTTATGTATTCTTACCATTTCTTACACTAGAGAAACTATTTGGTATTTATACATGTAATTTGATTTATTTCACTTATGAGTATGGTCTCAGGCTGTGCCTATTTATTTATAAATATCTCAATGTGATCGTTCTTTATAGCTGAGTAGTACTCCATTGTATAAAAATACCACAACTTTTTTATCCAGGAAATTGATATTTTTTATATGAACCACAGGCTCTTTAGATGTATTTTTCTATTGAGAGCAGCTACTAGGACTGATGATTGGTATAACCAGTTGTTTGAATTTGGGTCATGCATATTTTCCTTAAATAGCATCTGAGGAGAAAACTGCTAATTTGAAACCTGACAGATATATTGACATCATAGGAAAGCCTCAGAAAGTCCTTTAGAGTCAGGAATTGATGGTGAATAGGAGCATCTAGAAAAGGAGTGTTAGCAGAATTGCCCAATTCTTATAATTATGATTGATTAATATTTTTATTTTTCAAAGAGCTTTTCTCGTATATTTTCTTTAATTTTTGATGAGACATTGGTAATTTGGTTGGAAAAACTGGGGCACAAAGAAAATTTAAGTTACTTGCTCAAGTTTTTATCTCATATGCTGTAGTTCAGAGACTAATGCATGGCTTGCATCAGTTTTGTTAGCTAAATAGCTGAAGCCAGACTTGAGTGAATTTTGTTTCTCTTTTATGGATCTCAGAGTGAGTTATAATTTTGGTAAGATGCTTGGTGAGGACAGTCTATAAATGATATAATTAATGTAAATTGGGATGAGGCACATTTTGTTAGAAATATGACATCCATGCATTTTTATTCTAGATTTTATCCATGATAGAAGAAGCAGCTGGAACCAGGATGTATGAGTATAAAAAAATAGCTGCCCAGAAAACTATAGAAAAAAAAGAAGCAAAACTGAAAGAAATTAAGACGGTAATTAAACTTAATATAAAATAATTTTGGAGAAGGGTGCAGTCTGGGTTTTGAGTTTTTGTTATAAGGAGAAAAAAATTTTTTTCCCTGCAGTTTTCCATATTTTTCACACTACTAGTATTTCTTGTTCTGGTTTTTTGTTCTAGTGATTAAACCCATGCTCTTGCCCCATTCTAGGCATATGCTCTGCCACTGAGCTATATTCCAACCATTTTCATTTACTTATTTTTATTTTGAGACAATTGCTCAAGCTGGTCTTGAACTCATGAGTCTCCTGCCTTAGTCTTCCAAGTAGCTTGTGGTATACCCAGTTTCTTAAAAAATTTTAAAATGGCCAGGGATTTAGCTCAGTGGCACAAGTGCCTGCCTGGCAAGCATGAGGTTGTGAGCTTGAAAAATATTTTTTTTTTAATGATCTAAATGTTTTTAACATAATGAAAATTTTGATTTTTCTTTTATTTTCTAGATACTTGAAGAAGAGATTACTCCAACCATTCAAAAATTAAAAGAGGTATATATGCTTTTTAGGTGAAGACAGCTACTTAGAATTTCTCTCAAAATTGGTGCTGTATCCAAAATCATGCAAATAGGATGAAGTATGTACTATTTCTTGGAGATTTTTCTCTGAGGTGAAACAGGGAATTAAAATTGTTACTCCATGTCTTGGCTTTATTGTTTCAGGGCATATGTATTTTCTGTTCATGATTTTGGAGAATGATCTTCATAATCTGAGAAAATGACGTATCAGATTTTAATTTTTAACCTTTCATTGGAGACAAGTCTGACTTCCCTAGATAATTGAAATTGACTGGAACAACATTTTTTAAAGCTATGGCATTCTTAGTGACCTTCACTGTTAGAGTAGATTACTTCTGTGATAATGGTAACTGTCCTGTCATTGCTCTCAAGGCATTCTATGGGGGAGGATTGAAATAGAAGTAGGTTTTCTCTATAATATTTGCACCCTCGTGTATCATAGAACTTGTCAGTATTTTGGTGAAAAAATATAATTGTGAAGGACTATTTTTATGGATAACCATAAAGGAATTTGTTAAAAGCCCATTAAAATTCGGTACTGTTTAAGGTTATTTTCTGAATCAGTTTAGATGATACTGGAAAACTGAACAATTGTAAATCTTAAATATATCCCCTTTATCTCCATTATTAACTAGAAACATTAGCTCAGACATGTTCAGCTTTGATTTCAGACCTGATTTTGCCTCATTCTTTCTAAATCGAGTATAGGCATTCCTCATTTAACAACTAGTTATGCTCATGTCATTAAATGGATTGGTCACTAAACGAGTAATTGTATATAGTATGTATGTTACAATATGCAGAACAAAGAAATGTTCAAAGGAAACTCCAGGTTGGAGACTTTGCTTTTATTTGGATAACCCTTAAATGGATTACTATGATTATAACAGAACTTAAAACTACAGTATTGTACTGTACAATACAACAGCAAAAGTTATGGTACTGTATAAACGATGTACTGTACTAAAATAAGACATGGAGGCTTAATAAACAAGATATACAGAACTATACCAAAAAAAAAAAAAAAATGGGTCGTAAGTCTGAACAGTGTGCCTTGGTCAGAAGTCCTGTCATTAAAGAGGTCTGTAAATATGGATAGGTGATTTAACCATTGAATTTATTGCTTCATTGAAAAATTAGGTATTTTACTTACTATTTAGTCTGCTTCAGCAGATCCTTAATGTCAGTCACGTTTGCCATCTTTGAGGAAGTGCTTTTGGTGTGCTGAAAGAATGCTAGGCAGGCATCATGGCAATACTGCTACAGTGCTCAGTACGACTAGTTTATGGACCTTGTGTCACGTTTTCCTTGTTAACCCCAACTTCTTCCTAATCATATATATAGAAAAGTTAGTTAACACAGGATTCATTAGATACAGAATACTGTCCAAGAGCCCTATTTCTGATATTAGTTAAAATTTCCTAAAATTAAAATGCCATGATGATTTAAGTCAAAATCTATTGGATATAATGGGAAATCTGATATATGTTGCTATGGTTTGATTCTTTCCACATTTGTTAAAAACTATAATTTGTGGTGTATTTATTATTTGTCTTGCAGGAAAGATCTTCGTATTTGGAGTACCAAAAAGTAATGAGAGAAATAGAACATTTGAGTCGTTTATACATTGCTTATCAGTTTTTGCTGGCTGAAGATACTAAAGAGCGCTCTGCTGAGGAATTAAAAGAAATGCAGGATAAAATTATAAAAGTTAAAGAAGAATTGTCTGAGAATGATAAAAAGATAAAGGCACTTAATCGTGAAATAGAAGAATTGGAAAAACAGAAAGATAAGGTCAGAACACATAAGAACAGATAATATGCTGTCATTGGGCTTTTTCATATTGACTTGTTAGTGTAAGATGATAGCTTTAAAAATTGCTGTTTCATGTAAATCATAGAAGAACATTATGACATGAGTGGATTTTCAGTAATTTAATCGAATTATGCACACTTCATTATAGGAAATTGGAGGCGTACTCCGGTCTTTAGAAGATGCTCTTGCAGAGGTACAGCGAGTTCATACTAAATCTCAAAGTGCATTTGACCTCAAGAAGAAAAATCTGACAAGTGAAGAAAACAAACGCCAAGAGCTGGAAAAAAATATGCTTGAGGTAAGTAAATAAGCTTAATTTCCACTAATGTACAGTTGTCCATTCCATTACTATTTAGTAGGTACCTACTGTGGACCAAGTTCAGTTGTCTGGATTGGTTATACAGTATGGAAAACATGGTCCAAAGCCCCTGCCATGTGGGTCCACTTGGGAAATGATAGAATAACTAAAATACAGGACATGTTAGACAGTGATAACTGATGCAGAGGGAAAGGAGATAGTTTAGAATTTAAACTGGTTAATTACTCTTAGCTAAGGTACAGACTAGAACAAGTTAGAATAGGAAAAACAGGTACAATATGAACATGATCAACTTGAGATACTGATTAGATATTTTGAGAGCGATTCTCGTTAGGTAGCTCATTGTTTGAATATTAAATCCAGTCTAAAAATATACAGATCTGGGGTTAATCAGTGTACAGTTTAAATTCATGAGACTGGATAAAATATCAGGTATGAGTATAAAGAGTTGTAAAGTTGGAGTGCTGGGGTAATTCAGCATGTGAAAGTTAGGGGACATGAAGAATGAGCAAGGGGATGAAGAGAACGTGAGGAGAATCATGTGAGTGTGTACATATGTCAAGAAGTTTTATGAAAATTAAAGGGTAAAGGAACTAACTGAAGGGTGCAGAAGTAGGATTTTTTGCACTTGGTTTTACACATCGTAAAGAACATACAGTATTGATGGAAAAAACCTAGTAGGAAACCAGCATTTATGATTCAGAAGAGAGAGATGGATGCATTGTTGAATAAGGTCTCTCAGTAAGTCAGAGTAGGATAGGCACTGGGGTGCAGTTTCAGGAGACAGCCTTTGCAGAGAGGAGAAACAGGTCAGCCTTAGTAACAGAAGAGTCAAGTGTGTAATCTCATGTACAGGGAGGTGAGGAGGTGTGGAGTAGAGTTCATGGACATTCTCTTGAGAGTAATTCCATTGTCCCAGTGAAATATATATCTGCCTTTTTATTAGAAAATTAACTCCCTGAAAATAAAGTATTTCTTTATACTGTCCTGTTAGATATTATTGCACAGACATAGCTGTCAGTTTAAGCATAGTGAGAATTTAGGCAGCTTCAAAGTACAGTGAATGTTTGTTGCTTGCACTCAGTTTATCATTTCCGGTTTAATCAGGTTTTAAAGCTTTAAACGTGTGCACCTGCTTTGGTTTTGGCTAATTTTTCCTTAAACCTGCCAGGTCCTTAAGCTTCACACAGGGCCACTGATTGCTCTTTTTTGGTCTCCTTTTCTGCATCCTGTTATTTTTCTTGATCTCTGAATGTGAGCATGCCTCAGGCTAGCACACAGATTTTTTTTCTCTTTACACTTGCTTCTTAGGCGTTTCATCTAGCCCTGTGGCTCTAAATACTGTCAGCCTTACATGTTGATGCCTTCCAAATCTGAACTAGGTTTAACTCTTTCCCTGAACTATGCAAAACAGATTTCTTGTGTATTGGTTATTGACTGGTCTGAGTCCAGTTAAAAAAACATAAAATATTATGTAGATTTATTACATATAGCTTCAGCAGAAGTTAACAGAAGTCTTCAGTTTATTGTGAGCTGGTTTCACCAAGGCTAAGAAAACCTTCCTTGAAACAGGTAGGATTTCATCTGCATATCAGTGACAGCTGAGGACCTCAGAAAGCAGGGTGGTCTGAGATTTATGCCCTAAGGCAGTGGTGACAAACCTTACAGTGGGCTTTTTGTATCATTGAAAGCACTGAAAGGTTGATAGCTGGCACTTAAGGTGATATAAGGTGCCAGACTGAAGAATCAAAGGACGTCTTGTCTCTGGAAAGGACTGGAACTAGAGTCCTGGCCGAGGCAGCCAGTCCCTCCCTCACTCAGGATACTCTATGGCCAGCACATTCTATGGCTGATCTTGAGAACTACCAGCCCTAAAAGGAGCAGTTGGGTCATTCCATGATCACCCAAGAAAACTGTCCTGGGATCCAGGCCCTGTCCCAGACATACCCTTTAACAAAGCTTAATCTATTTGCTATGCTCATGGATCCTTCAAATCCAGAGCAGAAGGAAGTTCATCTTTTTATTTTGATGTTACACCTGGATTGACACATAACATAATATTGTAGAACTAAAGTCAGGATGGGGACTGTTACCACAAGGTGTTTAGGCCTACGATTTAGCTCAGATCCAAGGATCCAAGTACAAACTGTTAAAGTGTTCAAAGAAGGATCCTATAGGTAACCTGACTCTGCAGGAGGTGAGCTTCTAGGTCCCATTTCCCTTTGTTTCTCCAGTACCTAGGCTGGTTATGCAGGTTCAGCGGATTTCAACATTCACACAGACACTTTCCAGATGGGCTCACCAAGTTTAGAGCAATTATGCTGTTGCAAAAACTTTCTTTTTTTGAGAGTATAGTGATAGCTGGATGGCCATGGTAGTGGCATGTGTGAAAGCAGTACCTGGCCATGTCAAGGGCAGGTTTCTCACACTTACTGACTGCAATGTGTGTTTCTCAGGATCTCGTAAGTGAATCACTTAACATCTCCTAGTAGGTCCTGGGTAAGCCTGGTGTAGGTATAAGCTGCTGAGCCAATGGTGTGTCACACTCCTAACAGTGATGATTAGTGGCACCTCCAGGATTCCCACAGTGTATTATCTCACCATCTACCAGCTTTTCAGACATGACATTGCCCATTTTGTATTTGAGTTAAGCCTGTACTGTCCATAGAAAAAGGTAAAGCTTTTGGATATATGTAGTACCTTTTTCTTCATTGTATCGCTCACTGCCCTGGTGTGGAAGTATTGGCATTTGCTAGTTAAGTCTCATTAATGGCATAACTGCATAAGCTCACTTTCTCAGGTACAAATTTGTTTATGAAGACCCTATTTTCATTATTACTCCTGGGATGCTTTCCATCTGTGTAGTGGATGGGACATGATGCCTCAGAGTACCTTTAAGATTCTTAAGGTTTCATAAGTTTTGCTTGTGACATTTTGCCATAAGCAAGTAACACCGAGCACGTACTTTGACCTAGCATTAGGATGTTCAGTCTCCACCAATGCTCATTAGCGTACGTGGAGTTACTTACTCAAAAGGGATTTATCTGGTAGACACACACAACTTCCCTGTCCAAAGTCAAAGAGGCTGGTATGTGTCGGTGGTAGTCAGTCTATGATAGAGCATTGTTAGTTGCTGTAGGAAGGCTGTTTTGCCCAGTCTGATAGTTGTTACATTGTAACAGTGTGTTTTATAAGATGTTTTTATGTAGCAGGTTTTTAAATTTAACAAAGTTAAGTCTTAAATTTGGAATTAATGCTTTTGCTACATAACCAGTTGAATTTTGAATAGCATAGCTGACAGGCAAAAGCAAATATGCCTCACTGTTAGGGGTTATATTTTTAGCTATAAGGGGACATACCCTCTCAGGTGGTGGTGATGTTCTGTGTTCTAAGCAGGCAGAATATCAATGTCAGTAGTGTACTTCACAATGGGAACCATGTCATTGATACCCAGATGCCCCATTCTCTAATAAGCACCATGAGTTGCTGCCTTCATCCCTAAATCACCCAGTGTTATCAGTCTTAGTTTTCCCCTAAGACTGGTGGTGAACATATAGCCCACAGTAGGCTATTTGTATCATTGAAAGCTCTCAAAGGTCCATCAAGAGACCTGAAAGTACTGTCATATAGGATCCAGCATCCAAGAAGTCCTGAACAGTCTGAATTTTCTTATTTTTCCACTCTTTGATAGGTCATTGTCCTCTTTGGAGTATTTAAATGCAATATTCCCACTCCTGGTTGTAGCACTGAGCCATTTGAAGCTCTGCGTTCCTTTACCAAACAAATACTGTAGCTATATATACGTATAAGGTTTCCTGGACTTTTCCACATCTGTCCTTTAAGTAAATGAGTCTCCATTTTCTGTGAAGGCCTGTGTGAGGTGTGCTGGTTCCCTTTCAGATGCTTCAAGATCGCTCTACCCACTCCCTGGGTCTCTGGTGTTTGAAATGATTGATTACATAAGCACTCCCCCAAACCAGGGATCGTGTGCTCATTTCTGCAGTTCGTTCTTTCTGCCTGAAGCCACGCATACAGCCGTCCCATTCTCATCCATGGGGCAGTGATATGTGTCTCACCTCTTATGCTTCCTTCACCCTAAAGCATCTACCAGGGTATCCAGCTCCTGCACTCCTTACAATCGTGTCTCTGATTCGAGTTGGGCATTGGTGGGTAAGGCTACTCTAGCTTTGTTAGTAGATCAGACTAGAGAGCCTATTTTTGCCACTTTTGTGAAGCAGGTTTACTGTGTACTGTTTTTCAGTTTTCTGTTCCTAGTAAATAGGACATTTCATGCCTAACAAATTATATGAAACATTCATCACTCACACGTAGGTAGTAATTGAAAAAGGCTCAGGAAAGCTAACAAGAGGAATGGAGTCTTCTCTGTGTATGTCTGGATTTTATCTGCAACAGACGGACTCCAGAAAGCAGCTTACTCTAGCTGCTTTGTACAACAGGCAGTGTAAATCTCTGAGGTCCAAGCAGTAGATCCTATTTCTAGGGAGGGAGTAGAACAGAGCACAGTCTGTGTGGGCCTCTTGCTTATTTCAGGGTATTGCATATCTAGCACAGCGTGTAGTTATTTTTGGGAGCTGCAATTTGAGAAAGGTGGAGAACTGGGTCAGTCCACGGACCATCCAGATAATTGTCCTGCAGTTGTCAAATTTATTTGTCTAGATGCTTAACATTTTTACCCAGGTGTCTAAGAAAAGGTGTTGATTATGATGGAATCGTAAATTTCCCCCACGTGGCCAGGTGTGGTGGTGAATGCCTGTAGTTCCAGCACTCGGGAGACAGAGGTAGGAGGATCTCGGAGTTCAAGGCCAACCTGGGCTACATATTGAATTCAGGGTCAAACCAAACCATGTAGCAAGACCTTGTTTCAGAAAACTAAAGATAAATAAATAAGCACATTTCTCTATCCAAACCTACCTGGATTGCTAAATTTTCCATGTCGGTGAATGGCGCCACCATTCACCTAATCCAGTCCTATAGTCCTTCTGGATCCCCCCCCCCTTTTTCTCAAATGCCATATCTAACCTATTGGCAGATGTCATTGACTTTAAAGTATACCCAGAATACAACCACCTTTTAGTACCTCCATTACTGCCAACCTCTTTGGAGCTGTCTCTTCCCATTGGGGCTCCTACAGTATCGTCCTTAGTCACCATACTTTTGTTGCTCTGTTTTGTTTTTTTATAGAAACTAAAATGTAAATTGTATCATATCACTTCATTCTTAAAATTCTTCTGTAGTTTCAATGTGATGCATATAATTAAATCTGTAATCTTCGTGACCTTCAAAGAATTTCACATTATGATCCCTGACTCCCTCCTACATTGTCTCACCTCTTCAATCACAGCTTCTCAAACATCCAAACAAGTTTCCTGGGACTTACCAAACACAGTTACAGCTGTTTGTGTGTTAACTCTTGTTACAAATGCCATCTCACAAAGCTTTTCCTTTTTCATACAGTAGTTCCCATCACTTTCTATCCATGACCTTATTTGCTTACCACATCTTTACTCTACCTAGAATAGAGGCTTACAAAGGTCAGGGTAATAGTCTGTATCTTTATTGAGTTAGAACAGTACCTAGTACATAGTAAACACCTGCCTGAGAAGTATTTGATGACATATGTGCTAATCAAGTGTCCCAGAATTTATGATCACTTTTTTTAAAAACATTTAAGCATTTTAAACATTTTTGTATTCTCATTTTGTTTTGGTACTGAGACTGAAGCTATTGTGTGCCACTGAACTATATCCCTGACCCTTCTGATCACTTTTATATAAAAGAGGTAGCTAGATTATTTTTTCAATGCTGGTGTCTTGTATTGAATGTGGTTACTGTTAAAAAAATTTTTAAGTATTAGTGATACATTTTCCATAGCTGTTTAATTCTGAAATCTTGTGTGTGTCTTTTTGAGATAGTATCTCACTGTGTAGTTCAGGGGCTGGCCTTGGCTCACTTTGTAGCCCACGCTGGTCTTGAACTTGCAACCATCCTCCTATCTCAGCCTCCCAAGTACTGGGATTGTAGATAGGCCCAGCTGTTACTGAATTCTTTAATACTTGATAAAATATTTTCATATGCATGCCTTTAATCCTGAAACTTTTGTTTTTAGGCGTAGTGTAAGATGGCTATTATGTTAGCTTATAAAATTTAGGAAGTAATCTTTAGCTTTAAGTGGTTTAAAATCTGCAATAAATTTTAGTCCAGTATCTCTTGGATTTTACTATCATGTACAGGATGAAAATATTTCATGTAATACTTAAATTATATCCCAAAAATTTAGAGAGTGAATTTCAAAATGGGTATTCAGTATTTAAAGAGGTGGTTGTTTTCTTTAATTCCTCAAGTTGCTAGTTTCTTTAATTCCTCAAGTATAATGTAAGGGTATATGCATGTAAAGAGTCTGTTTTTCCTAAGGTACAATATTTACCAATTTGAAATTCTTTCTAAAGGATTCTAAAACTTTAGGAGCAAAGGAGAAAGAAGTTAAGAATATAACAGATAGGCTGCAAGGCCTTCAAGAGGCAAGTAACAGAGACGCCGAGGCCTTGGCGGCGGCACAGCAACACTTCAACGCCGTCTCCGCTGGCCTGTCCAGTACTGAGGACGGAGCAGAAGCCACTCTCGCTGGTCAGATGATCGCCTGCAAAAATGACATAAGCAAGGCTCAGACAGAGGCCAAGCAGGTAAATACAGGCTAAACACTGTGTGATTGCTTTTTTTTTTTTAAGAAACTGCTTTTCACAGAAATTTTTGAAATTGTTACAAAATAATAAAGATAATCAGTTCAGTGTCAAGGAACTTGTTCACTTAATTTTAGTACTCCATAGTACCTCATACGTTGAAATTCAAGTATGTTGATTGCTAAAATATTGATAATATTAGATTTTCAAGGTGTCGTAAAATAAATTACTATCTCTCAGTTCATCATGTGCTCTTATCATTCAGATTTTAAATCTTTTCAATCTATTAAATGGTTTTCAAATTTATTGAGTTTGTAGTGCAATTTAAAAGTCTTACAAATAAGAGCTTTATTGGCAGTCAAAGATGCATATACACGTAGTGTATACATTCTTTTATTTACTTTTTTTTATATTGGAAATTGAATCCAGGACCTTTACACTGAGCTATATTCCTAGTCCTTTTGGTTTTTTGTTTTGTTTTGTTTTATGTTGAAGAGAAGATATTGTTGACATGCCCATTTTGGGTTTGAATTTGTGATCCTCCTACCTTAGCTTTCCAGAGTGCTAGGATTGCAGGCCAGTACAATACCCAGCAATATTTTTTCTCATTTGAGGACTCACTATAAAAATGTATGCATGGAAACATTTGTGTATTTATGAATCTTACTCAGGTTTTTCTATTAATGCATATTTGTAACTTTTTCTTCAGAAATGAGTTATAATAATTTATAAAACCTCAACTATAGGAAGATTTTAATTATTTTTTTCTATCATTCAGAATATTCCTATATAGACCTTAAAATAAAAGCATGATTTTAAAACATGCTCTCAGTCTTTTAAATATCAGGCTTCTGGCATTTTTACATTTTTCTGTCTGCTTAGGAAATTTCTGCCTTATTTCTAGTGGCTGCTGCTACCACTTAATGCACCTTGTCTGCTGTTATTAGACAGTACTCAGAAAGACATGCAAATACAAATGTGAGCACCTAAATGGAAGGGAACTGAGTTGTGATTTGTAGCTATGTGCTGTGGCTTTAACTAGCTACTGAGTTATACTTTGATGTAAGTTTTCAGCTTGGTTAATATGTCATATTTATACCTATTAAAAAATATGGACTTGTATTGCAAGTTACTTAATGATTTACATTAATCATGTTACTCTCAGTAGTTTTCGGAGGAAAAACTACCGTGAAATGATTGTTCTTTTGAAATACTAATCCAGTAAACCACACAGTCATATTTTTCAAGGCTGAGGGCTCTTATTTAAACCTGTCTGAATCTGTGGCCATTTAATTATTAGCACTATCTGCCTCATGTAGTATTACATTTTTCTGTCACAGGCTCAAATGAAGTTGAAACATGCCCAGCAAGAATTAAAGAATAAACAAGTAGAAGTTAAGAAGATGGATAGTGGCTATCGGAAGGATCAAGAAGCTTTAGAAGCTGTAATAAAACTGAAAGAAAAACTTGAAACAGAAATGAAGAAATTAAATTATGAAGGTTTGCCTTTTACGTATGATAACATGGGGAGCAGTTGTAACTGATAGACTAATCTAAAGAATTAAGACTACCTGAAACATTATTTATCCTGTTAATAGGTGTTAGTGTATGAATTATTTGTAAATATAGTTAGAAAAATAAATATAAAGCAGTCTTTTGAATTTTTGAGAACTTAGTATTGAAAATTTCCTTCTTCAGTAACTTTAAGACTCAGATATGTCATTTGTATGTTTCTACATGAGTAGGCAATTTTTATGTTGTTCCCCGGAATGAAGATTTTGTCATTGAAAATGTCTCCTTGACACTTGAATGTTAAGCATGTCTTTTTATTTAGTATGGATCAGAAATTTATATTTCACATCTAGGAATGCTTTGGAAATAGAGGTTACTTAAATTTTTATTAACTCAGTAGTTTTTAGACTTAAGTTGCAATTTATTTATGCTTTATTCCTCAGAAAATAAGGAAGAAAATCTTTTGGAAAAGCGCAAGCAACTGTCTCATGATATCAGTAGACTGAAAGAGAAATATGAAGCTCTCTTGGCCAGGTTTCCCAGACTTCACTTTACATACAAGTAAGATATCTAAACTTGTATTTTAGCTTAGTAGTAATCAAGCTATATTTTTGCTTCACAAAATTATTGTAATTTGCTTTTCTTTTATTGATGTTTTTCCTTAGTTTTGAAATGTTTCAACTGTTAGTATAGGGCTTTTTCTAAAATTTGATGGCTACTGATTTCACTACTCTTAAAGCCAAGTCATTAGAGTAATCTAATTTCAACTCATTGTTCATGAAATTACTCTATCTTTACAATTAAATTTATTTTAGGTTTTTTTGTTATGTTAATTTTTTATGGAATACTGTAATCCTGTTTCTTTTTAAGTTTTTGTTACATTAAAAGCTTAATGAAAAGATTTTCAATTGATTTATAGCTGACTAGTCTGTTTGGGATATTTTGAAATTTTTGTTTGGCAAAACTGTATGATTCTTTTGCATTCATTCCAGTCCAGAAGTTCTTGGTTAGGAAAATACATCTTTTTCTGTTTTCTTCTCTATGGTTAATTCTTGTCATCATTTTGATTTTAGAGATCCAGAGAAGAACTGGAATAGAAATTGTGTGAAAGGACTTGTAGCTTCTCTGATTAGTGTGAAAGATACTTCTACAACTATGGCCTTAGAATTGGTAGCTGGGGAGCGACTCTACAATGTTGTCGTAGACACAGAGGTAAACTGATTTTAATGAAGGAAAGTTTAAAATTGGTATTTTGCTTGGAAAATTATGCTGCTTAAAGAATTGGATACTTTAAGACTCTACCAGATGACATACATGGTAACACTTCAGTTAGCAGTGTTGTTCTTATTTAGAGGCTCACAAGGCTCATTACCAATTTTAGACTTTTTCTGTGCGTTTGTATTAAATTTGTGAAATAATACTGAGAACTGAATTTTAAATATCTGTCCATCAAAAAACATTAAATTTATTTGCATTTCTTCATTTCTCATTTTATATTCTTCAGTGACATGTTCTTATTCAAGTAAATGTTACATAGTTTATATTTATTAAATATATTTTTTTAGAGTGTTTAAGTTTTTTTGTGTGTATTTCGGGTATACAGTATGTTTTTGTATATGTACATAGTGAAGTGATTACGATAATCAACATGCTAACATAACTATCCACCTTTAATTGCTACTTTTTTTCCTTGTTATAAATTTCTAAACCTACTCTAGCAAATGTTCATTACATTATACATTTTCTTTGTAGAATTATCCCATGTAATGTGTAGCCATTGACCTACACCCTATTTCTATCCATTCCTCTCCCTTTGTGTCCCTAGTAACCCTGTTCACTCCCTCTTTCTAACTTTTTAACTTTTTTCATGTATGTGAGGTCATGCAATATATCTGTGTGCCTGTTTCATGTCACGTGGCATACATCTGTTCCAGGTTCATCCACATTGTCAAAATGGCAACATATCTTTTTTTAAGGCTGAATAATAATGTATATTATGTATATTTTCTTAAGCTTTTGATTATTTCAAATGAAAGTCCTAAGCATTTATTTGATTATGGATTCCTGAAACTGTACTCTTCCCATTTTAATATTTACTCATACCATTTTTATTTTTGAATTTCAAATGCTGTTTTTTTAGGTAACTGGTAAAAAACTACTAGAAAAAGGAGAATTGAAACATCGTTACACTATAATTCCACTCAATAAGATTTCAGCCAGATGTATTGCTCCAGAAACTTTGAGAGTTGCTCAGAATCTTGTAAGTCTTATTTAGTTATGCAGAACCACAAATTTTGTAACTTTGTTAAAATTCTTTAAAAAATTTTTAAAAACTAAGATTTGCTCTTTTGTAGATAGATGGTAAGAGAATGCAAGTATTGAAAATCTAGAACTCTGGTTGATTTTTTTAGACTTCAGTGTTAGAATGTCTTTAACCTTATATTGAATTGCATGACTGTCATTTGGTAGGGAAAATTATATTTCTGAACAGTTAAGACTAACCTGAAATTCTTCAGTGTTTCCTTATGGCAGGAACACTTAAGCTGCCTATAGTGACAGCCATTGTTTAAGATAGCAGTCAATAATCCAGAGTTGCTCTTGCATTAGAGTTGTTTTAGACTGCTGTTCAGCCTTTGGACATACAGTATATTGCAGATGACTTAAAATCCCAATCACCTTTTGAGGGAGATGTGTAGTGGTACATTTGCTAGTAAGAAAATGGGTATGTAGAAAGAAATGTGTTTAGAAAACTCTCATGAACATGTAATACCGGATTAAATAGTGAAGTTAATCATACGTAACTGTAGTAAACAAAATTACTTTTATTGACCAGGCATCACAGTTGTGTGAGTTGAAAAGATAGTTCTATGAAATCTAGAAATGACATTTGTAATTAAGATAGTAAGTGAATATTCAGTGTACTTACTGAAATTGAGAAGCTTTCAGTTAAATGATTTCAAAATTCTATTGAGATGTGCATGATGAAGAGAGGGAGAATGAATGCAGAGTAATTCAGAGATAGTGTGTTGAATTAGTATTTCCTTTATTTGAAAAATCATCTTTGGGTCAAGAAGGCTCAGAAGTTCACTTAACTGCTGATCAAGGTCCAGTGTTGCAAATAAATTGGGATTTTGAGTAACAGCAAAAATATGTCTTCCCACATTCTGTAGCCAACTCTGTTTGTTACATTGTCCTGCCTTTGTTGTGATTCTTGGTGTTAAATTACCTAAGGAAAGTTTAGTTTTTCTAAAAAGATGAATGATATAGTCATAAAAAGAAAAGATTGTAAAGAGGTAGTTGGATCATACTAGAAGATGGAGTACTTTTTCTGTTATTTTTTACTTAATAATTGATTGTGTTTTCATTTTTGTAACTGACAAGTAACTGTTGTAGTATGTTTATTTTGTGTTAAGAAACCAAATCACTAATGATTGAAACAAAGCAATAGAGTTTATTTGACCTGGGAATTACTGTACTTTGAGGAACATGTGCTTGTGTAGATAACAATTTCAGATTTAGGATGTTGGTATTTGTTCATCCATGATAAGAAGCTGTTATAATCTGTCATACTTTAGCTAAATATTTTACTTGGCAATAGATTCTTTTGTATTTAAAACTATAATTTTTTTCCCTAAAAGTGCGATATATGTAGCTCTTCAGTAAATTTTTAAAAGATTGATTAATGATAAATATTACTTAAACATCTGTTGTAGCAGTTCTTGTTGGTTTAACCAAAGGAAAGGAGGCAGTATGTACTTGTACTTTTCCTTTAGGTTGGTCCTGACAGTGTTCACATGGCTCTCTCCCTGGTTGACTATAATCCAGAACTTCAGAAAGCGATGGAATTTGTCTTTGGAACTACATTTGTTTGTGACAGTATGAATAATGCCAAAAAAGTGGCTTTTGATGGAAGGATAATGACTAGAACTGTGACTTTAGGGGGTGATGTATTTGATCCTCATGGAACATTGAGTGGAGGTAAGTTTTGTGTCCTTTTGTCTTTACTACACTGTGGTAAGCAGGATGGGCTTTTTTATTAAATAGACTAAAATATTTAGGGATTGATTAGAAACAAGACTAACGCCGGCCCAGGTTTTATATTTAAGACCAAATACTTATTTCCAAAGCCTTAATGTAAATCTAAGGGTGGAGTTTAAGTGTTGAATACCCAGGTGTGATAGGTACGTAACAGTGCTGAGAAATGACGCGGTGACTTAGTCCTCAGGGAGCCATAGTCAGTAATTAGTCCTATAGTTAGTTTCATTAGTCTCAGATCTATTCCTGTTTATATTTATCTGTTCCTACTTATATTTTGCTTTGTTTTTCTATTAGGATACTCCAGTCACTGATACTGATACCAGCACCTTGTTGCTTACTTATTTTTACTTTTTGTCCAGTTGTGGTCAGAGAAATATCTTTTTTTGTTTTCTAAGATACATTTTTTAACTTCCCATTTATTCAGCAAATCTATTAACTCACGTGTCAGTGCTGCCACTGCTCCTGTCAAAAGTGAAAATTCTTGAGGATGGACTCTCCTTTTATGCTGTAGGAGAGGAATTCCTAAGCATATTCCTGATCCTATTTTTTCTTGTTCCAATATTTGCCATATTGATTTCTGAGTCTATGTCAGATAATACAATAAAAAACAGTGAATAATATTCTGTACTGGGTAGTAATCTAAGACTGTGCTGTCCAGTACAGTAGCTACTAGCCATATAGGGCTCTTTTCACATAATATATTAAAAAAAATTTTTTTAAGTGTAGTATAGTTGTTGTATTTCAAGGGCTCTAGCTAAAAGATCATAATTGAACAATACAGATACCAAAACATTTCTGTCATTCATTTTATGGGCTTTAAGTAATCCCAATTTATTTAATCCTTAATAATAATTATAATATAAGTACATGACTGTCCAGTTTATAATTATAGAAATTAAAATTCAGAGTGTTTAAATAACTTGCTAGTATGGAGCAAAACTTGGAATCTGAAACCAAGCAGTCTGATTGCAGATCCATTTAACATAGTAGGCTGTATATTATTGATATATCAAGTACCTTAATACCTCTCTAGGCAAATTAAATGAATTCCATCATCAAATATCAGAATTCTCAATACAAAGAATTACTAGTATCTGCAAGTGGAAAATGAAACTAAATAGTTTAAATATTTGGAAGAGAAGAAATTTAGATTTTTATTGATTTAAATATTCTCATTTCTTCTGAAGAACTGGCAAATATGTAATGCTGTATCTTACTGACAGAGTTCTTATAATACCGTTAGTACTTGGCCTTGGCCTTCTTTTATCACCCTACAGTGTTTTCTTGTCAGTGTAATAACAGCCAGATGGTTATGGTTGTTTTTACAGTAATTGAAATCAGTTTATTCCACTTGCTCTGCTGTCCCAGTTTAGACCAGGTTATCTTGGCCTGACAAATAGAGCTCAAATCATAATAGCTTACAAGTTTATTCCTTAGTTACATTACATTTACTGCAGGTCTGGTTCTTCTGTTTCATGTTGTTTCCATTCTGTGACTCAGTCTGAAGGAGTAATCCCCACCTTAAAAATGCTTTTCTCGTGGCAAAGGGAAAACAAACTCAGTTACATGCTGCCTCACAAAACTCACATGCAAAGAGGTGTATTTCCCATGTCACTAGCCAGAGGTAATCAGGTGGCCAAACTCAATGTCTGTGGTGGAAGACAGGTATAGGAAGGATATCCTAATAAATAAGCCAGTGGTTATATGTATTTAGAACCATTTATCAATTTTGTCTGTTTCTAGGTTCAGGCCCGTGAATTCACCAGGATTTTTTTATTATTTCTAGTATAATTCTCTAAGAAAAAAATTTGTTGCTTAATAAACCTGTGGTAGTTTAATGTTCAGGGCCGGTTTCTTGTCTCTGGCAGGTGCTCGATCTCAGGCAGCTTCTGTTTTAACCCAGTTTCAAGAACTCAAAGGTGTTCAAGATGAGTTGAAGATCAAGGAGAAAGAGCTACAGGCTCTAGAGGAAGAATTAGCACGTCTTAAAAATACTGCTGAAAAGTAAGATTTTGGATTATGCTATATATCTGTGTATATATATCTACCTATATATATATATATATATATATATACACAGATATATAGCAAAGATTTACAAGGTAAAACATGGTAAGAAATACAACTCCTAACTTTTTTTTTTGGTACTGGGGATCGAACTCACGGCCTTGTGCTTGCCAGGCAGGTACTTTTGCCACTGAGCTAAATCCCTAGCTGGCCAACATTTTTCATGATCTTTGGCTTTATTTAAAATATTTGAACAAAAAATTGAAAGTTGGTAATTTAGCTGTTACAATGTTTTCTGATAAAAGGAATACCTTTGTTGTGAAAAATGGACAAAACTTAATTCACCAAAAGAAGAAACAGGTGTCAAATATCCTCTTCTTGCTACTGATACATACATTTAGTGTTCAGTTAGGGTTGGCGGGGGGGAACTCTTAGATTCTCAGGAGTCTGAAAGCAGAGGATACTTGAGTTCTTGATTTCAGTTTACTTTGTGTATTGTAACATCGACAATTGCAGTCAGGAAATTAGCATTTTTGTAAACTTCTATATTCCATATTTTTTTAAGTGGAGTTGAAATTATTGTCATTGTCAAGCAGTTTCAAGGGATAATACCCAAGATAGTATTTATATTTTATGACTTTGTATCCTTTTCCCCTCAAACCTCATGAATTTCTAGTGACATTCTTGTCACTATCTTGTGAATTTATATTAACTTGAAATTTCACTGCAAGTGAAATAGCTAAACACCTTCCACAGAAATGACTGAAGCAGCCGTATAGAGGATAGAATTATAGGGTTTGCAGTAGAGTACATCGATGAAAGTACAGTGCAGTAGAGTGTAAATGATGGAAGCCTCCTGGCTTAAGCAGTGAAGTCTTACTGCAAGAAGCATTAATATTAGAAGATGAAAATTAATAAATAGATAACCAGACTTTTGGAATTTTACCAATTTGTTACACTCTTAATTTTTGTAGTGAATAGTGACTAGAAGTGACCATTTTAGGTAAGAGTCAGCGGGAGAGATTACTTTTCAGAAAACTTACCTACTAAAAATTAATTTTAGTGTTTTCTAAAATTATGATCTTTCTATAAATAGCTGTTGTGTGTTTTTGTCATTTAAAGTTGTTTACCTTCAGTGACCAAATCAGACTTGCTAAAATGAGACTTGAATTTACTTCATGCCTTAGAAACTTGAGAATTATCAGCTTTCTCTCTTTTTTATTTTATTTTTTTGTGGTACTAGAGATTGAACCCAAAGCCATTGCATTGAACTGTATCCCTGACTTTTTAAAAATTTTTTATTTTGAGACCAGATTTTGCAAGTTGCCTGGCTGATGTGTAATTTATAGTGTGTTTGGGTTGTTCTCTTAGATTACTGGAAAACAGGTATGAGCCACCTTACCCTGCTCATCAAATTTGCTGGATAATCAGCATATTATGTTGTTTATGCTGTATGTTAATTTATTTGAGGCAAGATCCTGAACTCTAAATGTATGTCACAAGCCTGAGGAAACCCACAGGTTTTCCTCAGAATTGAATGGTATATTATGCATATAAACTTTTGTTTTTTTAAGGTATCGCCAGCTAAAACAGCAGTGGGAAATGAAAACTGAGGAAGCAGATTTATTACAAACAAAGCTCCAGCAAAGCGCATATCATAAGCAACAAGAAGAATTGGATGCTCTTAAAAAAACTATTGGTAGGCTTAAAACATTTGTTGCTTAATCTCTGTCTCTGTTGGCATCTTTTCTTATATTTAGGAAACTTGTTTTTATGATACGTGTGGGATGTTTCTTTGGGTAAATCAAAGTGTGGGACTTCTGGTCTTAGAATATGGTCATCTTCTATGATATATTACCAATATTTTGTCCATTTTTAATAATGCTCATTTCCACCCACGGCATGTGAAACTATATCTTTAAATCCTTTCCCTTTTAGATTTAAGTTTTTCAGTCTGATAGTTGTAAAAAGTACATTATCATTTTCATTGGCATTTAGTGTGAATTTCTCTCATCACCAGTGATATTTAGGATCTACTTTTGTGTGTTTATTGGACCTTTGCATTTTTACTTCCATGAATTTTATGTTTACTTCTTTTGTCCATTTTTCCTATTGGTTGCTTACGTTTTTTTCCCATACTTAATTATAATTTCTTGTAGATTATGTGCACTGCAACTATTTTGGGTTGCTATACTTTTAACTGTTTATAGAATTTTTGTTACACAAATGTTTTTACAGTTGTGTGTACAGTTGAGTTAGTTTTATAGATATCTCTAAATTTAAGAAATTTCCTGTACTTTTTCATCAGAATTAATTTTATGTACTTCTGTTTCTCATAACTTAGGATAATTTCCTCAAAAATATTTTTATCCTGCAGAACAGAGTAGCGTAAAACTTGTCTGGTTGTGACTTGCAGTGGTATATCTGTACCCGAGTCCTGACATTAGCTGTGTATGTCAGTATTTTTTTCGTATGCTTCATCCTAGATATATTTTCCACAGTATTTCTCTACTATAATGAGAGGTTACTTGAATAAATGAACCAAGAGCTACTATAGACTACCTGATTACAGGAAAATGTCACGTCTACACTGTTAGTTTGGGAATGCACAAAGATAAACTGAAAGTGTGGCTCATGGTAGTGTGGCTTAGTCCCCAGCACTGGGGGAAACTACACGTGTACATGAGCTGTAATCATTTTTAATAAATTGTTCAGAACCACGGGAAAAGTAGGGAAGTTAGAGGTAAAGTTTCTTACTTGGCTTTGTACCATTAGAAATAGTTTCAGGTTTTTGATATTTCAAACATAACTCTTAGGATTTCTGTTTTAATATACCACTTGTAGAATGTGGTTAAGAGTAGTTACTTTTGTTTAAATGCTGATTTTCCAAGTCATTTCTTCTGTTAAATAAATTGAATTTTTTAAGACTCTATATGTTAACGTAGCTACTTTTAACCACTTAATGATGCAGCGGAAAGTGAGGAGACCTTAAAAAACACCGAAGAAATCCAGAAAAAAGCTGAAGAAAAATATAAAGTATTAGAGCATAAAATGAAAAATGCAGAAGCTGAGAGAGAAAGAGAACTAAAGGATGCTCAAAAAAAATTGGATTGTGCCAAAACAAAGGCAGATGCATCTAGCAAGAAAATGAAAGAAAAACAACAGGTAATAAACTTTATTAGAATGGAACAAATCTTTTAAAATCAACGTGATGAAGAAGGTGGTAGAGTATCATGGTTTGGCCTCATTCAGCAATATTGATTCCAAAATCTAAAAGTGAGTTGTATTCTTTAAGAAATAAGCTATGGATCTTACAAGCCAAATTCTTTGCTCTCTGAAAACCCTGCAGTTGAATGTAATATGTGACTATAGATTGTATTCACATGATAATTTTAGGTGGAAAAGCAAAGTTGCCTTTTGTTAAAAGTGTTTCTATCCAGTCAGATTATAGGGTGTAGTGGAACTGTATATTAAAGATTTGGCAAGTTGTCATTTCTCTTTTGTAACCACCTATGTGAACTGCTGTTGCAACAGTGTAGAAGTAGAATGTTACATTTATAAGGTATTGTTCTGTTTTTAGGTAGTGAGTATCTCCTATTTCCTGCAGTGCAAAAGCTCTGCCTTTGTCTCCAAAGGGCAAACTCTTCTGAACAGTTTATCCAAATTTGTGCTTCTTCAGTTGTAACTCATGTTAAAATTCAGTCATAAGTTAGTTGCAGAAGAATGTTTTCTAATAAATTAAGACGCTACACTGAGAGAGAAGAAAATTAAGGAATTATTTTTTTGCACATTGAATAATTTTATTGAAAACTACGCAATTCATCTTGTGTAGAATTTTATATTATTTTCTGTATAGGAGTAAAAAAAATAAAGGAAATCATTTATGTAGTAATTTAAAATGTTAAAATTATCTATACACTTGTCTTTTTTCCCATTTATTTTTGGTATAAGAAAATAAACTTATATTTTCCCTTTCTTGGGAGGCAGCTTAACGTGTATTTTTGGTAATTGGTATCTAATTGTAGGTCTTAGGTAAACTTGTTTTTTAAGCATTGTACATTTTTTTCAGTAGCTAAAGACCTACCCGTGTGAATACCTACATACTTTGTTTCTGTAGGAGGTTGACGCTATCACTCTGGAGCTTGAAGAGCTTAGAAGAGAGCAGGCATCCTATAAACAACAGCTCGAAGCTGTAAATGAAGCTATCAAATCCTATGAAGGTCAGATTGAAGTAATGGCAGCTGAGGTAGCTAAAAATAAGGTAAGATTTACTTATCAAATTGGAGAAATTAAAAATGGTCATTTATTCATGAAATACTGAATTGAGATTTTAACTTTAGTGTTCTTGATATTTTCAGTCTTGTCATTTGAGCAGGAGGGCAAAAGTAGTGATTGTTAATTCAGAAAGCATGCTGAATTAATATCAATGATTAAGTTGGTGTCTACTCTGAATACAAAACCCACACAGTAATTTAAACAGAATTTACTTTTTTTTATATATATTACTGGGAATTGAACTTGGGGACCCCACATATACTAGGCAGGAGCTGTGCCACTGAGCTATATCCCCAGCCCAAAGGAGCAGAACTTAAATAATTTTTTGGTGGGAGTACTAGTGATTGAATCCAGAGCCTTTGTACCAAGCTATGTCCTCAGTCCTCCTTTTTAAAGTTCATTAATTTGAAACAGACTTGTTAAGTCACTAATTTACCAGGGCTGGGCTTGAATTTGTAATCCTGTTAGCCTCCCAGAGTGCTGGCATTATAGGCATACATCACTGTGGCTGGCTATAAAATATCATTATAATAGAGGTTTGGTATGATTGGGATTGTTCAGGAAGAGACTGAGGCAGTGCTAAAAGTATAGAAATAACATAAGATAATTTGCCATTACTCTTAGGGTTGAGGCAGGCTACCCCTGAAAGGAACAAATATGGCAAAGATCCTGTTTCCACTCAGGGCTCTGAGAACCAGATCTGTTTGCAGGAAGCGTTGACAGTAGCCTGCTGGCCCTGAAATTTGCCAGTGTGCCAGAAGAAGCTGTCTACAGTAAAATGCTGCATGTGTGCAGCACCTGCTGAAAACAGATTTTTAGGAACACTGACCACCAGCTGTGGTGTCCTGTGCTCAGATGCCAGGTGAAACCATGCAAGCTGCTAGCAAACCTGCCTTCATGAAAAGCAGAATGAAACCAGCAAATAAAGTTCCTTCCTCCTACAGGGTTGCTATAGTAACATTTACTGATGGGACTTAATATTATTGCTGCTGGCAAGAAAAAAGTATTCCATTCTCAGAAGCAGGGCGGCAGCTGTAATTTCAGAGCTGAGAGGATTTTAGATGTTACAGAGACACTGTTACCTGCAATTTAATGTTATGAAACTGTCCCTCTTGAATATTGGATAGTCTCTTAACTCTTCCTTTGTTTTTGATCTTGAAATTTATGTTGATTAATGTTATTTGTGTTACTTAACCTTTACACTATTTTACTTTTCAGTTCCTCTGTCATTTGGTTATATATACTGTTTGTAAGTTTTGTTTGTATCAAACTGCTAAATGCACATAGCGTTTAATTAGTTTAATCCATTTAAAAACGTAGTACAGAGCATTTTGCCTTTTTCTATCCACTTTTATATTTTATTATATTTCCTCCTTAAGATTATTTTAATCATGATAGTATGCAGTGTTTTAGAATGTAAATCTTTTCCTCTTGATTTTATTGTTCTTTTTTTTTTTTACCCATATATTGCATTAACAATGGAATATCAGCTCTTTTAACTACTTTTTTGTGTTAGGAATCAGTTTATCTCAGCTTTTCATTACATTGAGTAAAAACTGCAGTTTCTGTCAATTTTCTTTTTCAATTACTTTTTGGTGGTACTTGGGAGTGAATCTCACCCAGTGTGTGATAGGCAATTGCTCTACCACTGAACTACATCCTCAGCCCTCAAGTAAATTTAAATTTAAAACCTGTGAAGTTTTTTCAGGTTGTTTTAGGTCACATATTTTTCATCTTCTGGTCTACTATACCATCTACTCTTTGTCATTTCCATTATGTTATATAATTTTTTAAAAATGCAAGAGGTATTTCCAAAGAGAAAAAATAGAAATACAGAGGTGTACTCAAAACGTGCACATATTTCTATAAAGAATGTATCTATTTTTACTAACAGGAAACAATAAATGGATCACTTAGAGGTTTTTAAAGATTATTCACTTAGGATCTATATAATAAATTACTTCCTTTTGCTGATAGGGGAAGATAAGTCTGCTATTGACCTTTAATTTGTAGATGTAAGAGAATCTTTGTATCCATTACTTTTCTTTTTAGTATTACTAGAGTTTTATTTTTTGTTCTTGAGAGGTTTTTAAAAAGCTAAAATACTTTTTTTTTTTTTTTCCCCTCCCTCTCTTTTTTATAACAAAATTTACACATTTTGGATTTTATTACTCCTCAGTTCTCATTACTCTCTTGGGGGGGAGATAATAAAGTCAAATATGGCAAAACAAAGCTGTAAGTCCAAACCAAGGATAGACATAGCACATGATGTAGAACAGAGTACAAGGTCATCAACAATGGTTATCAACATTGTCTCTTGTTTCCTTAAAAGGAATTGTCTAGCTCATTAGATATTATAAAGTTGGACAAAACAGTGGAGAACAAGACCAATAAAATATGTTTAGTTTATTTTTTTTTTTTTGTAGTTCTGTATTATGTGTAACCTTACACTGCTTTGTCTTGTTTTGTGTTTTTCTCTTTTTCCTCTTAAATAAAAAAAAAAAAAAAAAAAAAAAAAAAAAAAAGCTAAAATACTATTAGTTTTTAACATGAACACCATAACTTCTTGAAAAAGACCTCATTATACAGTTTAGACACTGAAAGGAATTTAAATTGCTCTGAGTATACTGAACAACTTGAATGTAATGTGGAGTATTTGTTGCTCAAAATTGTCTTGCTCACAGCTGAACATGACTGAAAAAATACTTAAGTTTTTACTGTTTCTTATAAATACTATGATCTGTTCTACTTTAGTTTTTGTCAGGTTATCCTATTTATATGTGTTTTGATTTTTTGTTTCTCCCCAACCTAAATATGAGTTGAACTGTTATATTAGTTTGTTGTTGCATTTTGTTTAGACATTTGTGTGAGACATTTGTGTGACAGTATTCTCTATCTGAAGGACATTTAAGGTCTGGGATGAAGCCCAAGGGCTTTGGGGGCGGGTCATGAAGAAAAAGTCCCAACTGTAAGCAGCGTTTCCTAGAACAAGCAGAGAGGCAGTGACAGTGAGAGCAGCATGGTTTTCATTTGTCCCACAAGTCTGTTACAGAAAAGGATTATTTTTTCCCAGTTGGTTTTAACCAGTGTGTTAGAAACAAATGTGACTTTCTGTTGCTATTGGTAGGATCCACAGGCCATACATTTGATACAGAAGGAAAAAGAAATAAAATGCCAAACTTCTTTATTTTCATCTCTGATCTTTGTCCTTTATGGTAAATGTCATTTGGACATTAGCGTTATGTTATCTTGTTTACTACCTAAAATTTTCTCTGAGAGATCTCTAATCATTCCTCTCTCCTGGTTGATTCTGTCTATACTACATCTAATGATACTTTTGTTTCCAGCATGAATTCCCCCCAGTCACAAACCAGGTTTTGTGTAAATGCATTGATTTTAATGTGTAGCAAATTAGATGACCATCTGCCTATAATTGCATTGACTTGTTGCCTAGATGTCTGTCAGACTTAGTAAAGTACTTACATACCTTTACTATGTCTTCTCCATTTTTTTGTTTGTTTTAGGAGTTAGTCACGATAGCTCAAGAAAAAATGACCAAGCAAAAAGAAGTGATAGCAGCTCATGACAGTGTAATTAAAACTAAATATGCAGAAGTGGCAAAATATAAGGAGCAGAACAATGATTCTCAACTGAAAATTAAGGAATTAGACCACAATATCAGCAAACATAAACGGGAAGCTGAAGAGGCTGCTTCAAAGGCATGTTTGTGTTCATTTTTACCTTAGTCAAAATTTTGTTTCTAGGTCATTGGAAAATTCTAGAAAACTGCTCGATGAAGAAATTCAGTCTAAATGACAAAACTACAGCCTAACGTAATTTTTAAGTACAACTGTTAAGTGCTTGTCAGTAATGTTCATTTTCAACAAATGGTACAAAAGAAGTTTTATTTTCCAATTTCATCTTAGATATCCCCATCTGCATGGCGCCCATACGTAAGACTTAATGAACTCCCATGAAAATAACTGTTTTCTCTCCAAATATCAGTAGAATTATTCATGTGTTACTAATAATATATATTCTTTACCTTATTTCAAATTGTATTTAAAGAAATCACATAAGTATATATGTGGTCAGCATTAAGGAAAGATATAATTGACTTTAGGTTTCCTTATGTGGATAGGTACTACTAATTTTTGCAACTGTATTAAAAATCTGTTGTTTTGCCCAAAAAGTTAGCATTTTGAAGTTTTTATTGTTGCTTTTAAATTTTTTCCTTTCCTGCATCAGTGTTTTTATATAAGCACTTAAATAAAACATACTTTTACAAAAATTTACTGCTTGATTGAAAGGCTGCATCAATGCATTGTTCTTAATAATTCATCCACCATAGGATGTTTTTTGGCATCTTGAAAATTTAAAAACTTTAACTTGTAGAGATCATTAAGCATATACCAGTCTCTCCATCCTTTAAAAGAACTGCAGATGTGTGTGTAGGTTCATTATTTGATATGAAAACATTTTTTATGGCTATGTCATAATCTCCCACATTTATTAGTGATTTTCCAATATCCTAGAAACTAGTGCTAATGGAATCTGACATATTACTAATAATATTGCTAATAATTTTTTGGTTATTGAATATCCTAGTATTGATGATCTCTAGAAATTTTATTTTTCTCTAAGGGGCATAATAGAAGAGATGAATGGAGCCACTAAACATTCAGGTATTCTTTGAAAAATATTCTTGCATACCTGCCAGTATCAGAGACTATATGTAATATCTGCTGCTATCCCAGGCAGTGAAGATGTAAGAATGAGAAAAATACACAGACTGCTTTCATAGAGCTTCTAGATCAGCAAGGAAGAAGACTGGGAACACTGATTTCACTGAGGGGCCTACCTGACCAAATCCCGGGAGGTAGTAAGAGGAGGCTGATGGACAAAACCTGGATTGTACCAGTTGTAATAAGTCTTAATTCACATAAGCACTATAATTGGACATTTTTAATCAATTGTATTATTTGAGGAAATATAATACTGTGCCCTGTGAAAAGATGATGGGAATAAGGATAGAGTTAACATTTAGGGCAGTCTTTTTATCAGTTTTACTTTTGAGTAATTGCTAGTCAAGATTAGGCTTCCAAAAAAACAAAACAAAAGTTAGGATTCCATTTTACCAAATCTCTGGCTTCAGTATAGTTAAGGAATTTTAGCCGCACAAGTTTTTGAAAACATAGATTGAATTTGGTGAAACAATAGCCTGAATTTGGTAAAAGCTGAAGGAACCTCTTCTAATTTACATTTCATTTTACTGGAAATGTTTTGCAGATACACATTAGGTATTCCTAATCTGAAATTCCTAAATTCTAAATGCTTCTAATCCAAAAATTTTGAGTACAGACATGACACCACAATTGGGAAATTCCATGCTCGACTTCACTTTATAGATCATAATCAGACTAAAGATGTAAAGATAATAAAGTTTTGGGGGTTTTTTGTTTGTTTGTTTTTCTTTTTTGTCTTTTTTTGAGACGGGGTCTCGCTATGCAGTTCAGGCTGGCCTCGAGCTCACTTTGTAGCCCAGACTGGTCTCAAACTCGCAACGATCCTCCCACCTCAGCCTCCCGAGTGCTGGGATTTATAGGCGTGAGCCACCACGCCTGGCTGATAATGAATAAGTTACTTAAAATTATTATGTATGAGATATGGTTAAAAATATATTTAAATTGTAATAGTAAAACACACATTGCCCTTAATCTCTTTCAAAATACTTCCCCTACAATTCAAACACACTTATGCTGTTGTTCTGGCCAATTTCTGAGACGGTTCTGAAAGTTCCTTTTGTGAGTGTTAAATTGTCCTGTCTGTCATGACTGCTTGAACATCCTCCATCAATTCAAAATGTTTATCTTTTATGCTTATTTTGATTTTGAGGAGAACCAAAGTTGTATGGTGCCAGGTCTGGTGAATACTTTGTTTTTACAATCCTGCCTTTTTGTTGACTGGCACTTGACTGCAGCATTCACTGTGTTTTTGATCATGTCTCATAAACACAAGGACTCTAAAACTAGTTCAGAAAATGGCAAAGAAATGTTGCCATTTGTTCAACAAGGAGATTATTTTAATCATCCCTTGTATCTATGGAACATAATTGGATTTTTATGTTGAGACTTGGCTTCCTTTCCTACAGTCCACTCTCAGTGTATGTATGTAAATATTTCAAAATTTGAAAAACTGCAAAACAGTTCTAGTCCTAAGCATTTTAGATATGGGTATTTAATCTGCACTTAATGAGTTAGGTTGTCTTCTAATACTTAGGTAATAGAAAGAATCTTATTCAGTGTCTTGTTTATTGAGCCTGTCCTCCATGTAAAAGTACTCATTCTTGTGTCTGGCATTTGTCTCCCAAATGTGTAACTTAAAATTAAGCATTTAAGAATGTGAGTTTTTTTTAACAACGCATCCCTTTGTTTTCATATGTGACTAGGTGTCCAAAATGTTGAAAGATTACGAGTGGATTAGTGCAGAGAAACATCTCTTTGGCCAGCCCAATAGTGCCTATGATTTCAAAACTAACAACCCCAAGGAAGCTGGTCAGCGACTTCAGAAATTACAAGAAATGAAGGAGAAACTAGGAAGAAATGTCAATATGAGAGCTATGAATGTACTGACAGAAGCTGAAGAGCGGGTATGTCAATATCCATAAACGCCCGGACTTAGGAGAATGTGGTAGATAGTAAGAGCTGCGCCTCAACTGCTGTTTCTCTTTCACTAATGCGGGGCTGCCAGCCGCTAGGCCACAGAGCAGTGAGTGTGTGGCTTTTGGGACCTGGGACACAGCAGGTGAGCAGGAGCAGGCAAGGAAAGCTTGCTCTGTGTTTCCAGCCACTCCCGATTGCTCACATCACCTGAGCGCCAACTCCTGTCAAATGAGCATGGCTTTCGATTTTCAGGGAAGTGTGAACTGTGTGTTCAAGGGATCTGTATTGCTTGCTCCTTTAAACCATCCCAAAATCACCACCACACCCACATCCCTAGAAAAACTGGTCCCTGGTGCCAAAACTGTTGGGTACTAACGCTGGGGAGTATATTGAAACCATTGTCTAAGTCATGAGTAAAACTTCTGTCTCATTCTTGTGGCAGTATCGTTTTGGATGTAGCGTTCTGGATTACTTGACAGTGTCATCTATCTGTCTGTCCTCTCTCTGCTGACAGAACTACAGTCTAGGAAGAGATTTTCAGTGTCCATCCACTGACAAACTTAGGAGGTCCCGCTACTAGAAAAACCATCAAGGGCAGCAGTCTGTACTCTTGGGGCCCCATAGCTTAAGGCAGGCAGTGTTTTTATATTAATACCTCTCATACTTTAAATCTACAAAATTGTGTTTGAATTTGCATATAGAATTGAGAGCTCTGCAAAAACCAATAATATTCCTGTGCATTTAAGAAGTTTTACTGTAATGGTTTTAAATAACTTTGGTGGCATTAGTATAAACAACCATAATGTAAAGTGAAATAAATCACACACAAATTTAAATATCACATGGTTTGTCTTATATGAGAAACACACACACACATATATATATATATATATATATATATAAATTAAGAAGCAAAATAAAAAGTAGTAAGAAACTGGGAGACGAATCTTTTGCAAAAGAGAAGGAGGCCAAGATATGGAGGGTGGGGAGGAGAAGCTGTAAAAACGTAAGTAAAATGTGTTATGTACATGTACTAATTCCCCACAATGAAAGCAATCATTATGTATTACAAATATGTGTAACAAAAATATTGAAAACAACTTTAAAAAATATATTTTGTTAGATGTCAAGCAGCCTATTAATTCAAATGTTAGGATACAGTGTCCCCAGTGGTTTTCTTTGTACCTTAAGTTTTGTAGCGTACAGGGTACTTTGGGAAGGAAATCTTTGATCAGAATTTAAGCTGCATAATACTGTAAAACATTACACTTGTTTACTTTTACTATATAATGATAAAAAGATTTTTTAAAATCCATTGACTGTCCTTAACAGAAAAGAAGGCTATATTGTTGACCAGATTGGATTTTTTGGTTTGTTTGTTTTGTATCTGTTCGTGTAAGAAATTACATGGATTTATGTAAGAAGTTTAAAATAACAATGAGGATTTTGTAGATTGGGCATAAAGGAGAGACACCACTAGGAAGATAGTAGGACAGGAGTTACTCGAGACTGTTAAAGTCCCTTGAAATGTGAGACTGAGGAGAAATGAATTAAAAAACTTAAAAATCCGCCATTATCCTGATGATGATAAAATTTTCCATGGTAGCTCCCTGCAGACGCCGCTTTGAAGAGATGCTGTATTACCTGAACTTAAGTCACCAGTTACATAGATATAGAGAAGGAGCATTAAGAGAAAAAGAACAATGCCAGGGATATGAAACAGTGAAATCAAAGAGCTCAAGAAGGTCAAGAAGGATTCTGATGTCATAAAATGAGATAGAAGGATCAACTCAGGACATGTGCATCTTAGTCAAGGGTTGAAATGTTATTCATGTCACTGATGAAACCGACCTTAAGAGAGCATTTGGAGCTACTTTTCTGTCAAGTTAGACATGACATATATTCCTTTTTGCCTTGATCACTATGAAGATAAGGGATATTAGTGTCATCAAACTATATTTCCAATCAATTCTCAGTTCTAGTATAGTTACATACTAGACACATTGTTACATGAAAATTTTTCCCTGGTACTTGTCCTTTGTTTGGTAGTGAATAAATAAGCTAAAATTTGTTGGGAGTCAGTTACCTTGTGACAAACTACCTTTATCCAGCCAAAAGGATTTGCTTTGTACTTGTCATTCCTCCTGGGACCAATTAACAAGCAACCACATACTACTGCAGTATACTATTACTCTATACCTATGTTTACTTTCTTTGTAATTCAGTTTTCATTGTCATTCTTAGTGCATTATATGTTTTGGTTAAATAACAAAACCTTTATTTCTGACTGAATTCCAGATTGTAAAAGAAATTTTATTTCTAAATGCACTTTTTTTATTTCACAGTATAATGACTTGATGAAGAAGAAGAGAATTGTAGAAAATGACAAATCTAAAATCCTTGCAACTATAGAAGACCTTGACCAGAAGAAAAATCAGGCCCTAAATATTGCTTGGCAAAAGGTATTTCAACCCCAAAATATTACCTTTAACTATGTAGGAGGTAAAAATGGATATTATTATCAATGAATTTATACTTGAAATCTGATATGGTTACTGTGTGTTTGAATGAGGCATATAGTCACATTTTTGTTAAAACCTCATAGATTTGTAAATGCATTTTTTCTTGGATTTATCTACTGTTGGATTTGCAAAGGTAAGTCAGACTTACAGATTACTATGGTTTTGAAGTTATATTAACTTTCTAGTTGTTGCTGTTTCTTACTCTTAACTGGTTTTTTAGTACCATTTTACTTTTAAAGGGATTGCTGTTTATTCTCTTTGCTTTTTATGAGACTGTAGAATTTTATATTTGGAAGAAACCTTAGATCCTCTTTAATGTCTGCTAACCTGAGTACGTCTCTGCTTGAAGCTGGAAGGCAAGCAGTGTTCAGCTGTTGGAAATCAAAAACCCTTTTCTAGACTCATTTATTTCCACCATCTTCAGTTTTTCTTGTCCAGACTTATGTATTCAAATATTACTTCTCAGAATGTTTTTTAGAGCAAGATTCCTTTAAACAAAATTTTTCATTTTTAATTGACACTTGGTAGTAGTTGTACATACTAATGGAGTACACTGTAACATTTTGGTACATGTGCACCATGTATATGATCAGAGCAGGGAAATGCATCAAAATCATCTCCACTGGCTACTTTGAAATAATTGTTCTCAACCAGAGATGCCCTGCTAAGCTATATAACATTAGACTTTATTCCCACCGTCCAGCTGTTCCTCTGTACCTGTTAACCATGCTCTCTCTATTCCCCATTGGCTCTGGTAAAAACTTACTCTGCTGGATGTTGGTTTTAGCTTTGGCTTTCAAATAAAGTAAAACTTTTCAGTGTTTATCTTTTCCTGCTCGACTCATTTCACTTAACATAATACTTCTGGTTCTATTAATATTCTTAAAAATTTTAGAGCTTCATTCCCTTTATATAGCTAAATAATGCTTCAGTGTGTATGTGTGTGTATGTTATCACATTTGTTTTACCCCTATATCTGTCAGTAGACACAGGTGAATTTCATGTCTGGGGTGTTGGGAACTGCTGAAGTAAGCACATGAGTGTTGACATTCCTTTAACAAACGACTTCCTTTTTCTTTGGCTCTTTATCCTATATTAGAGTTAATGGAGTTCTGTTTCTGCTTTTTGAGCAGTCTCCATATTTTTCATAATGGCTGTACTGATCTGCATTCCCACCAGTAGTACACAAGAGTTCCTTGTCTGCATACTTTTCCAGCAATTATTTTTTGTCTTTTTGATGATAATCTGTGTGGGTAAAGGCAGTACCTCACTGTAGTTTGTTTTTTTTTTTTTGTTTTGTTTTGTTTTTTTTTTGTTTTTTTCTGTACTGGGGATTGAACTCATGACCTCCTGCTTACCAGGCAGACGCTTATGCCACTGAGCTAAATCCCCAGCCTCACTGTAGTTTTGATTTGCATTTGACGCTTAGTGATGTTGAGCAGTTTTTCTTGGCCCTGTGTATTGTATATCTTCTTTTGAGAAGTATCTAGGTTATTCATATGTGTTTTTTTAAATTGGATAATTTCTTCTTGGGCTTTTAAATTGCTTGAGTGCTTGACTGTTTCCATGTCAGATGAATACTACACAGATTCTTTTTCCCCCCATTCTGTTGGTTGCCTCTTCATTCTGTTGATTGTGTTCTTTGCTGAGCACAAGCTGTTCAGTTTGCTATAACTCCATTTGTCAGTTTTTGCTTTTGTTCCTGTGTTTTTGAGATCGTATCCAAAAATGATCTGCACAGACCACTATCCTAAGGCAATCACTTCCGTTCTCTTCTAGTGTCATTGTTTCAGGTCTTAACATATAAACTGAACCATTTTAAGTTGAATTTTGTATGTGATAAGAGGTAGAAATGTAAATACCTAGCTCCTATAAACACCCAGTTTTCTAGCACCATTTATTGTGGTGCTTTCCTTTCTCCATTGTGTATTTTGGGAATCTTTGTTGAGAATCAGCTGTAGATATTTTGAGGTCTGTTTTCTATTTCAGGGGTCTATGTATCTTTTTTTTTTTTTTTTAATGCCAGTACTACTATGTTTTGGTGATAGCTTTGTAAATGGGTTTCAAAGTCAGATATTATAATACATTCAACTTTCTATTCTTTTTGCTCAGGATTGTTTTGACTACTCAGAATATTTTCAAAAATTTATTTGTACTTGATTTGTGGTCTAACATGACCACCCTGGAAAGTATCCCTTGTGTTAGTGAGAAGAAAATCTCTTCTGCTACTGTTAGCTGAAATACTCTGTAAAAGACTGTTAGGTCAGTTTGCTCAGTAGTATAGTTTAACTCAGATATCTGTTGATTTTTTGTCTGGGATGATCTGTGATCCTGTGTCGGGTGTGTATTTATACATATATTTCAATTCTTACATCTTTTTGCTAAATGGACTCTATCAGTAAAATACAATGTCCATTGCCTCCTTTCCTGTTTTGGTGTAAAATCAGCTTCCTCTGATACTAATGTAGCTACTTCTAATTGTCCTTGGTTTCTCTTTGCGTTGAGCACCTTTAACCAACAGGTCTCTATTAGTCTATATCTTTACCAATGAAATTTCTTTTATTTCTTTTTGTGTGTATCTTTTTGAGACAGGGTTTTGCTATGCAGTTCTGGCTGACCTTGAACTTGTAGGGATCTTCCTGCTTCAGCTTCCCTGGGATTTGTAGGCATGTACCACCACTCACAGTAAAGTGAATTTCTTGTAGACCCTATGTGTTTGATCCTTGAATTTTTTAATCTAGTCAGGAAGTGTATCTTTCGATTTGTGAATTTAATCCATATACATTCAATATTATTATTGATCCATATGAACATTCTCTTATAATTTTATTAATTGTATTATATCTGATTTTATATAGTTTTTTTTACTTTCTGTGTCTTATTATTTATTGTTGGTATTTCATGTTTTCTGTCATGCCAAGGATTTTTTTCTCATTCTCTTTCGTATATCTTTCGAAGAAAGATATGCATGTGTTTTCATGATAGTAAGTGTCATCTTTTTTGTTTTCACTGTTGGGCTACCTTTTGTATTTCTTAAAGTGCTACTGGTGTTGGTGATGAATTCCCTCAGTTTCTCATCTGGGAAAAATTATTTCGCCTTCAATTTTTAAAAATAATTTTTCTGGTGATAGAATTTTTGGTTTATGATTTTTTTCCTCAGTACTTTCACGCCATTCTCTTCTGGCCCATGTATAAGGTTTCTGCTAAGAAATTTGTAAATAAATTTTTTGAAACTTTCTTTATATATGACTTGAATGTTTTTGAATTTTGTCTCGTATCTTTGAGATTTTGATATAATATAGTTTGGTGAAGATCTGTCATTGTTAAATCTAGCTGGAGTTCTTTGAGCTAGAAATCAGGATAAACATGTATTTTTAAAGATCTGGGAAGTTCTTAGCTAGTATTTTCTGAAGAAAACAAACAAAAAAAATTCAACTGTATCCAGCCCTCTTTGCTGCAGGCAGTACAGTACTGTGGTGAACCATAGTTCCCCAAACAGCTCACGGCTTCTCAAGCTGCAAATTCTCCAGGTGTCTGTGGTGTAAGTGGGGACCTCCTGGAGTCTCCTGTCCACCTGACTCTCCCTGCCAATTCCCTCTGTCCAGATGGGATGGTAACTGTTGTGTGCTTGGTTCCCTTGTTTATGAGCCCATGGTACCTCTCCCCGCATCTGCTATGCAACATCTCTGCTGTGTTCTCACTTCATTGTGGTGCTCTGCTTCAGTCACACCACTGAAATGGCTATTGTTTTTCTTTGTTTTATTCCTTCACTGTGGAAAGAAACATACAAGACACCTATAGTCAGCCATCTTGTTGATGTCACTCTCATTCTCAGCAAAATTAATGTACTCTGTCACTCTGGAATTGTTAGTTATGTTTCAGAATTCACAAATATTTCATTCCATATGTCCTTAGTAACACATTTTATACAGGTTAGATTAATATTATTTTATATTTGAAATACTCTGTCAATTACATTGATTATCTTTTTAAAATTCTGTGGCTTTTATAGTTATATCTATTGTTAACATGAGATAACCTGAGATGAAAAAGATAATCTGCCTCATATCATAGAATTTAAAGATATAAAAACTAGAATTCTCTTTTGCTACATAGAACCCAAGTTAAAATAGACTATTATTGCTAATTGTTCCCCGCCCCATGTCTTTATGAATTGGAAAATAAATAAGTTTAGCGTTTTCTTTTATAGCACCTTGATTGAACAAAATACCGATCACCATTTTTTGTTTTATGTTAATTTGAGCAAGACTCAAGCTTCTTCAGTTATTTCTGTCTCCCTGGATTCATATGTCTCTTTTAGAATCATTCCTTAGTGTTTCATGTAAAAGTTTTTCTACCACAATGAATCAAAGAACTCCAAGTGAACTTACTCTACAGCAAATGTATTTTCAGTGACCCAATTGGGGTAACTTGCCTCTTTCTCTTTAATTCTGTAGGAACCTTTTTTTTTTCCTTTTCTTTGCAGCACAATTATTTTTAGTACCTTGTTTCCCATACTGTAAGATTGATTTTTAGGGTTCCTGCTTCTTATAGTATGTCTTTTTAAAAAGCATGCAAAAACTATTGTCTTTGTTTTTGTACAATATGTAGAATTAGTGCTGTATGTAGTAGGATTTGTCTCTGCCTATTACCATCGCATGGTTCCAAGATTTACGGTAAATCAGAATTTATTCTTAATAAACTGATTCTGTTCTATTCTCATTCTCCAGGCTCTTGTAAAGCAACATTTAGAGTCCATATACCAGTCAATGTTCTCTGATTTCTTTAATCCTTATGATAACCTAATGAGGTACATATTTTCATTGGGAATATATTCATCCCTCTGATTTTAAGCATACTTTATTCACAAAGCCCTGGGGTATTTTAAGTATTAATTGTGTTTTTCTATCTTAGCCTTATTGTCAGTTCTTTGGAGTGGTTTACACATGGTATCCATGATTTTATTCGGAGTTTAGTAAACATTCTACTCTTGTAGTCCCAAGCTACCTCTACCATGTAGCCAAAAGATGAAACAAAAATGAACGTAGGATGTTTATAAATACTATGCTACCATTGATCATTCCCTAAAAGACAGTAGTCCTTTTATCATTTTGAAATGAGCCTTTTTCAGGTTCTGAAAATCTATTGAAAACAGACAAACCAAAAACCTGGACCTTATTCTACTATATAGGATATTACTCAGCAGATTGGTAATTGCTCTTAAAATGTAGATTCCAGGGCTGGGGAAATGCAAGATCCTGGGTTCAATTCCTCCTGTGTAAAAAAGTACAAAATGAAAAAATGCAGATTTCTTAGCAAGTCTGTATTCAGGACCACTGCTTGTCTGCAGGTATTTTACATTTGAATTTTTCATTCCTGCACTTGATGATGGAGATTTTTGTTCAGATCTTCAAGAGTGTGTGTGTATAAATGTATGTGAGAGGGTGTGTGCGCAGTAGTATCCACTTTCAAATATGCCTGCTGAACTCTTCAGCTGCTAGTCATGTCTTTCAAGACAAATAGCCAAACATTGATCACATGAGTGTACACAGAATTACCTTAGTATAAATAGAGTTTTGTCCCAAAATTCTTGTGTAGTCTTAAACTCTGGCAGGATAGGGTCATGGACAGGCCAAACAACTTCCTTAGCCTTTTTCTCTTGGATCCAATGCTCTTCCTGGCCCTCAGTAATTAGCCTCTTTTGCTTTATAAATAAGGTGTTCAGAACACTTTTAACACCTGAAACAGATCTGGCCCTTTGATGCATGCCTCCTTTTTTTCCGAACCTCATTTTGATCTGCTTATGAATTTAGCTAGTGATCACAGGCCCATCTTACTCCATTAATTGACAGAAAAATAAATTTTAGAAGACAGTACTTTGCCAAAAAAGTTTCTGTTTTATGTTTGCTTCTCCAACGGTTTTTTATTTATTTTTTTCATTTGTGTGATATAATTGTGTTTGTCTTGAGGATTCCTGCAGTATGGTCTACAAAAACATCAAAACTTTGGAGTAGAAGTAAAAGTGAAAATTAAAGTTTCCCATGGGAGTTATAGCAGAACTTATAAACTCTTTTGGTATAGGGCCAGGTAGTAAATAATTCTGACTTAGTGAGACTGACAGTTCCTGTTTTAACAGTAGCAACTATAGAAAGATTGTAAAGAACTGGACATGGCCAGATTTGTCACATAGGCTGTAATTTGTCAGCTCTTACCTGGAAATAACACAGTGCTGTGGACTTGCTGAATTGCATGTGTATATATTAATAATTGATTTTTCTTTAAAACATTCTCATTTTAATATAATTTCTATATAGGTGAACAAAGATTTTGGGTCTATTTTTTCTACTCTTTTGCCTGGTGCCAATGCTATGCTTGCACCCCCAGAAGGGCAAACTGTTTTGGATGGTCTGGAGTTCAAGGTTGCCTTGGGAAATACCTGGAAAGAAAATCTAACTGAGCTTAGTGGTGGTCAGAGGTAAGCAATTCCTTTGCAGTAGTATTAATCCTTATTCTCATTATAATTCATTACATTCCACTTACTTCAGTTTTGATTTGCTTAGCCAACTTTGTATGTCCATTTATGGAGCCTAGTATATGTCTAATAATTTAGTTAGAACATTTGATCAAATTAGTAAACAAGAGAAGTGGAATAATCAACTATAAAACTAGACAAGGTATGTGAAAAACAACCTTGTCAGCTTGGGAAATAGCTGAGTAGTTCATGACTGCAGTGCCTGAAAGAGGAAACAGAAACCCTGTGTTTACTATTACTTGCTCCATAAGTCATATTCTGGTCTTCAGAAGCATGGAGGGTGACCCAAACAGAGCTTGCAGTATCACTAAGTTAAGGAGACATTGGTTAAAAAATTTGAGAAGCCCTAGAAAAAAACTGTACTTTGGCATTAGGTCTATACGGTCTGTGAGCTAAGGTCTACTTTAGACACTCATGGACATTTAACAGGCCTTAAAGGAATCAGGCTGATTTGTATACTGTTTATCAGAACAAAGCCCATTGTTGTGTTGTGGTGTGTTTTATTTTGTTTTGTTAGTGTTAAAGATTAAATCCAGGGACTCGTTCATGCTAAAAATGCTAGGTGAGTATTCTTTTACTGAGCTATATTCCTAGCCTATTTTAATTTCATTTTGAGACAAGGTCTGCTCCCTAAGTTGCTCAGGCTGGTCTTGAACTTACAGTCTTTCTGTCTCAGCCTACTGAGAAGCTGAGTTTGTAGGTGTGAATCCAGGTGCCCTGTTATCTTTAGAGGATTGCATAATTAAGACACTAAACTACATAATAACCACAGTATCTAATTAAAAAATTACAAGACAAAAACCAACATGCTAACTTGGACAGAAATCAGAATAACATTTTAAGAATCCCCTGCCACACATAACACAGAAAATAGCCCAGAATTAGAGAAATGAAAGTTATTAAATAGAATTAAGTAGAATGCATAGAAACAAAAAGATAATAGACCCTATATAAAAGAAAGATGGGTAATCTTAAAGATAGGCAATAGATTCTATTAAAGAAAAATTAAGAAACAAGATTGGGAAAAGAGCCAGGTGTGGTAGTGCATGCCTGTATCCCAGCACTAGAGAGGCTAAGGCAGGAGGATCATTGCAAGTTCAAGGCCAGTTTGGGCTACAAAGTGAGTTCAAGACCAGCCTGAACTGTGTAGTGAGACCCTGTCTCCAAAGAAAATTTTTTTAAAAAATGTGAAAAGAGTAAAAAAACAAAATCAGTTTCAGTGTCCTGTGGGAAACTGCCTGACATGTATCTAACTGATATTCCAAAAGGAGAGGAAAAAGGAATACAAAATACTTTAGGAACTAATGGCCCCAACATGTCCAGATTTGATGAATTACATGAAGCTTAGACTCGAGTTCTGTGAACTGGCAGGATAAACATAAACCCACAGACACAATAATACAGCAAGCCATATGTAAAACTGCCAAAAGCCAGTTATTCAAAGAAAAAACTTAAAAGCAGCCAACAGAAAAGAAACATATGCTAAAGAACAAAGATCTAAAGCTACCTAAACCAGAAATTTTAAAGTTTAAAAAGAAAAATATGTCAACTAAAAATTCCATATCTAATTGAAATACTCATTTAAAAGCAGTATACTTTTTCATGCTAATAAAAGCGGAAATAGCCATGCACAGTAGTACAAACTTAGGTTAGTTTCAGCTACCCAGGAGGCTGAGACAGGAAGATTTGTAAGTTCAGGGATATACTGGGTCACTTAATGAGAACTTGTCTTAAAATAAAATATGCTGGGAATGTAATTCAGTGGTAGAGTGTGTCTGGCATATATGAGGCCTTGGTTCGAATCCCCAAGGTGGCCATGTATGTACTTACATACATACCTGGAAAAATTTGACTAACATTTGCTTTTAAAGTACATTGTTAGGCAAAAAGAAAGTGATGTCAGATGAAATTTCCATCTGCATGAAGAATTGAAGAGTACTAGATAAAGCACAAGTGTGGGATCTTGGGAGATTTCTGAGATTCACATAGTGATGAAGATCAGCACCCTGATAGAAATAAAAAAATAAAAGGACTTCTGGCCTAACTCCTTGTCTGCAGACAGCCAAATAAAACTTCCCAAGTAAATATTGTGTCTTCATATAAGTGATTGCTTGTAGTTAGTTTAGTGTCCGTGTCCCCCCCATTCCCCCCCGCCCCATACTGGGGATCGAATTCACGACCGCCTACTTGCAAGGCAGGTGCTTATGCTGCTGAGCTAAACCCCAGCCCCTAGTGTTTGTTTTTAAGTCTTCAGAATATACATTTTATAATCCTTGAGTTTTCATGTGCCCTGTAAAACTGTCACGTTACTTTATGTTCATAGAAAGTATTGGCACTTGTTAATTTTCTTTATGAACCCTTTCATCATTTATTAGTAAAAATATATTCTTACTCATGTTTTTCATGATGGATAAAATTTCTAAACATTTTCATAATCTGTAAGATTCTGTCAATAAAATTTTCCCAACAATTTAGGTCTCAGTATATTTAACTATTTGTCCCAAAGTCCTAAATATGTTTTTACATATTTAAAGTTTAATGTTTGACACAATAAAAATATTGATAACTTCAGCCTCTGTGTAGTGGTATCACTTTCACTATGCTGTAGTTTTCATTATACTATTTAATTTAATTTTTATTATACTATTTTAATATTCTTTGTTTAAATATTGGTTTATCGCTTTCCACTTCTGCACATACTCTCCCATCCCCCCTTTTTTGTTTTATAATTAATACCCTATTGGAATGCATTAAACATTAGGCAGACCATTCTAGTCCTGCATAATAGGAGATATTTGAAAATGTTACAAATGTTATAGTTTTTATAAGATGATAGATAATACAGGTATTTTCCAAGGAGGTAGAGGTTTTTTACAAAGTATGTTGCCAAACAATATTAAAGAAGTATTATGAGTCTTCATACAAGATTAAACAGATAATTCATGCAACATTAATTTTTGGTTATGCTTCTTAGAGCCAGATTAGAAATGCAACTAAAAGGGAAGGTGACCTAGAAGAGAACTTAAAATAGAGCTACAGAATTTGGTATAGCTATAAATTTTATATAAGAACTGTTTCAGTTGCTGATGCTGTGAAGTACTTAGAGTAATGGGCTACAATCTGTGTAAGTTACTTACCAGCTGAAGCCACAGTAACAATATGTAGTGTGTGATCTGCTCATGAGCTAATTTGTACTGTGTCATAATAACAGCATTGGAGATGAGCTTCAGTGTTTTGGTTGAAAATGTAAAGTGTTCTGTTTCCCACCACCCTTTCCCAGGTCCTTAGTGGCTTTGTCATTAATATTGTCCATGCTCCTCTTCAAACCGGCTCCAATTTACATCTTGGATGAGGTAGATGCAGCTTTGGATCTTTCTCATACCCAAAACATTGGACAGATGTTGCGAACTCATTTCACACATTCTCAGGTAAGAACTATTAAAAAAAATTTAGTAGTGTTTTTCTAAACTATTCTTTGCCAGTAGTCAGTGTTAGTGAGGTACTTGGGTTAGCCCGGGGATGCAGTTCAGTAGTGGAACGGTTGTCCTGAGTTTAATCCCCAGCATAGCAAAAAAGAAACTGATATATTAGGGTTGAAGAATACTGAAGCATTATTATTTATGTAGTTAGATGATGTTCAGATGGTTATAGAAGGAAAAAGAGTCAACATTTGAAAATCACCAGGCATTAAAATTGTTGGTTGTAGGTGAGAATTCATTTGAGACTGAGTTAGTGTAATGTTTTCCTCTGGCTAGTGGCCATAAGGCTACACAGTCAAAGCAATTTTTTAGTGGTATATTTTCAGATATTAAAAAATTATGTGTACTCAAAGGGGCCATTTTTATTTCTCTGGGCTGAAAGGTAGAGAAAGCCTCCTTGAAGGTGGTTTTAGTGCACTATGGCTGAAAGCCACTTGCATTACATAATTATACATTATACAACTCCAGATCTTCATTCAATCATAGTTACCATACAGTGCATTCTCTTATTTCCGATTTTTTGGCAGATAATATTAAAGAGCTAATAAAGGTTCCAGTTAAGCTAGGGATAGTAGTTGGTAACCTTATTTGATATTACTGGCAGAAAACTATTTCACTAAGGCAGTTGGAGCTAGTAGCAAAACAGTGAATACTGGCTAACAACAAGCATTCAAACATGAAGAAATAGTAAATTTGTTTAACAAAACACAATAAAATTAGGAGGTTATAAAACCAAATATGGAAAGCTTGCATCCATTTTACCGTGTAATACTATAACTGCTAGCTACTTGGACTTGTGTATACATTTTTGTTCAGTACAGTATTGAAAGAAGTAAAAATGATATCCAGAAAATTTATAGTTCAGTAAAAAGAAGTCCGTACCTCAAAACTATGCTAAAAACATTTATGCTTTTTTCTTTTTCCCTTAAGTTCATTGTGGTATCTCTAAAAGAAGGTATGTTCAACAACGCAAATGTTCTTTTCAAAACCAAGTTTGTGGATGGAGTTTCTACAGTGTCCAGATTTACTCAGAGTCAGAATGGGAAGATTCCAAAGGAAGCAAAATCCAAAACAAAAGAACCCAAATGAGCATGCGGTGGAAGTTTATAAATACAAACTTACTCCTCACCTTGACCTTTTTTTTAAAAAAACAATCTTTCAAGAACTCAGGATCTAATTTTTTATATAAAAATAATAATGTTATTCTGTCACCTAAGTACTATCTTCTCTTCCTTTGTATTATCTCTTGTAAATGAACATAGATTCTTTTCTATTAATTAGTATAACTATGGTCCAGTTACAGTGGTTATGGTTTTTTGTATATCATCAAAGTTTTTTTTTATGCAGATCTTTTATATATTAGAGAGGCTGTTATACCTGGTTGGTGATGAATATAGAAGAAAAAAATGTAGAGAAACAGATGAAATTAAAATACAAGATAAATGTAGCTGATAGCTTTTAGTCAGTTTAATTGTTAAAGCAAGATTATGCATGTTCTGTTGCTAATAATGCAGAGAAACAGATGAAATTAAAATATAGGATAAATGCAGCTGATAGTGAGCTTTTAATCAGTTTAATTCTTAAAGCAAGATTGTGCATGTTCTGTGCTAATAAAATCATCTACTTAGGGAAGAATTATAGCTGGATGAACAAAGAAGTAGCTGGATGAAGAAAGGGAACACAAAGCAAGCTAGGATACCTGTCCTGAGGTATTGCAAGCTAGTCCCTTGAGGACACAGTGCCAGATTCTGAGACGGGAAGAGATGTGAAGGTTTCCTGTTTTAGTGCTGTTGGAATATCATGTTTCTGTACACATACATGGTCCCTACAACCTTCATTTCATTTGTTTTTTTAAAGCTTTGTATTTTATAGAGATTTCGGAAGAAGTATGCTGTGTGGTGCTCTCTGGGTTTATTTGGTCTCTGTATTTAAAGCTTTTTGTCCAACTTTTTGTAATCTAATCAGTAATCTAATCAGTGACAGAGCATGTAGGGCCCGGTAGACTAAAAGTTTTTCTTGAGTCTGATGAGCATATAGATTGATCTATTAACTAGAAAACTAGAATGTATAATGATTATTATAATTATATATTCTGCTCTCTATTTCAGAGTGGTGTAATTTATTAAACAGCATAAGAATAGTATTTGTAGCTTTTGTTTTCTTTAGGTATATCATTAAAATAGTGTGTCTATAACCTGAATCCTGAAAGTTTTGATATGATCTTGGATGTGTTATCCCTTCCTGATACTTAACATCTTTTCTCTAAATACATGCTCGTATTTCTTGACATTTCTCAGTCTTCATTTGCTGTACCCATCTATTATGTAATACCTGAGTAACTGCTATTATGGGACACATTGAAATGAATTTAATCTAGAATTAGTTCTGTCTGCTGTGGAAGGAAAAAGAGATACAGCAATAAATGCTAAGGTATAGGAAGTCCAGTGTCAGAAGGCAGATCTACAGTTTTTTGCTTCCTTTCAAAATTACTGCAGTTGTTCACCAGAACTATTGTGTGCATGTATATAATTACCAATAAAGTATAACATACAAATTGGATCACAGAGTAATCAATACTGGCAGTTAATTTCAGTATTTCTAACCAACCATTTACAAAATGATACTTGCTATTTCAGCCAGCATTTTAAAAATAATTTTGAGCGTGAGTATTTTGCCATATATACTAATTTCCTTTTCTCCGCTGCAGATTTTCTGCTTGTATGGTTTTCTAGTTTTTGTCTTCCATATAATATAATCTTGGTCTTTGAAAATTCTCAAACATGTATTAAATTTTTGGGAATAATACTATTCTTTGGGAGGGTATGTTGTAAGGGAAATAGAGACATTTATTTCACATATCAGTAATATCAATCAACTAATTTGACAGCAGTACTTGAATTATTATAAGAGTTAAATATGAAAATACACACAAGTCAAAACACTACCTGATAAATCCATAAAACACTTGGGGTTAGTTGATTGATATTACTGATACGTGAAATAAATGTCTCTATTTCCCTTACATCATACCCTCCCAAAGAATAATAGCACTATTCCCAAAAACTGTGAAATATGAAACTTATGTACATCCTGACATCCATTCAAAAAGTTCCAAGTTTAGAAGCCAGGCATAGTGGCATGTGCCTGTAATCCCACACTTGGAAGGCTGATGTGGAAGGCTCTCTGCAAGTTCAAGGCCAGCCTGAACTGCATACTGAATACCCTGTCCCCAAAAGGGAGGAGGAAAACCCTCAGATTTCAAATTTCCAGACAGAGTGTTCACTCTGCATTATCATGCTGACAGCTTGAACATTGGTATATATTATACAAAGTAAATTTAATAAATGAGTTATATGAGTGTTTTGTAAAGTATGTGAATATAATTTTCATGAGCCTCACACATCTGAAAAAAGGATTTTTTTTTTTTTTTTTTTACCATTTTTGGCATTTTAAATAGACTAATAGAAAATGCAAAGCAAAAATTTGGAAAATCCTCTTCTGATATGATGGAATTGACTGTGAGAGATTTCTGGATACTGAATATAAAAGGCAGGAAGATTGTGATCAGATGAAATTTGAAGAAAAAGACAAGCTTGGTTTAACGTTTTTTTGCACCTCTGACCGAATTACCAGCAACATAGTCATGATGCACCCATGGGGACAGCTAAAATTGCGGTAGGAAGTCTGCTGTCTTCTTGACTGGCAAACAAAAAGATGGGGTCTGAGGAAAAGCACAGTTTCTAGAACATGCAGAAGAAACCTCATGAGGGGGAGCCAAATGAAGGGGTCATATGATAGCCTAACCAATCAGCTGAATCCTGATTTACACAAAAACGGGAACATTTAACCCCGTGTGACTCTTTATTAGATCATACAGAAAAATACTGTGTAAATATAAAAAGGTAAAACTAAAATAGGTTGATATAGTATTTAGCCGTAGTGTGTATATCTCCTAATATCTTGCAAAGCCAGTAAGAAAACCAAAGAAACAAGATTTCATTTGTTATCACTACTCTGTCAGAAAGCTGTGACAGGAATGCACTGGGATTCTGGGTTCTTGGCTTAGGTGGAGTAATAGTAAAACTCAGGGCTTTCAGTAAACAGCCTGCTGTGGAGCGCATCCCATATGGCCTAACAGTGATAGCTAAAAACAGTAGCTATGAAAACTAGCTCAGATTTTTAATTCATTCTGTATCTATGTAAGTGCTGTGAAGTGCTCTCTCTAACACTATTAACTGTTGTAAGAAACTGGGGCTGTATTCTTGCCCTGTTGGTGGGATTAGGAGGGTAGAGCAAGTAAGTAGTAGGCTTTGTACTGGGGAAGAGAGGAACTGAAACTTAAAACACTGACAAGGTTATCGTTATCTAACACACTTGTTGGATGGATTCTTGAAGGAATATAAAAACGACTGCACAAACAGTGGTAGAACGGTTTCTCTAAAGAGACCATAATGGAGCTGGATCTTCCTAGACATGTTAGAGTTTGCCTGGTGACTTGGGATGAGGTTAAAGTTTGCATCCTTACATCAGAACTGTATTGCAATTGTCAACTCACATATTCATTGAAGCATTTACTATGTTACTAAAACAAACTACTTACATGAACCAACCCTTGGATAAATGAAGTTAGTGTCCTGAAAGAACTTAGAATTTATTTCAGGGATTTCTGACTTCTCCACAAATCTGAAGATAGCCCAGTTCTTAGCATTACAGCTGGGTCTCAAAATGGAATGCATGAATTCTCTTTGCATTCCTGAAAAGTAACTTTATTTTTCCCTTTAATTCAATTAAACTTAATAACATAATCAGAACAAAGCTTGGCCCAGCCCTGGATACAAAGAGTAGTTTAAATGACGTGTTTCAACAAAGGATGAGTTTGGTAAAATGTGGTAGCATGGAGAATGATAGTACATTTGAAACTCTTAATACTATAAAAACAGTTTTACAAACACTGTATCCTCACATAATCCTAGCAACTAGCATGTACAGTGGTGGGAGTTATTCTAATTTTATGACAAATGATCTATCACAGGCTGATGAAACAGAGATTGACACGCAAAAGAAGAAACAATTATGGGAAGTAAAGTTACTCTATTATTTTAAAAAAGCATCACCAATGTCAGTTTTCTTTATTATAATGCATTTTAAATTCTGTAAAAGTTGTGCATTCAGCACATACAAGCTGTTGTATGTAAACTTACATGAAATAACAAATACTGAAACTTTTTGCCAAGAAGCAGTTTATTTTAAAACAAGACGACTTAAAATTTCAACATGGATGTACCTGGGGACCACAATGTTAAGAGAAATGAATGAGACACACAGTTTAAATATCATATGGTTTCTCTTACGTGAAAAACCCAAAATATAAAGAGCAAAATAAGAAATAGCAAGTAAGCAGATAGATCCTTTTCATATGGAAAAGAGATCAAAAGATAGATAGACGGAAGTGGGGAGGGGAAGGGATGAAAATTCAGATGTGTTATGTACTTGTATCAACTCTTCACAAGGGATGTAACCATGTACTGCTAGCATGAACTAATAAAAAATAAAACCTGAGAAAAATATAAAGGATAAAGAGCCAAACAAAATGGTAAAACAAAACCCAAACACCAATGATTACATGAAACAAAATGGTCTAAGCACAGTCAATTAAAAGAAAGTTTTTCAGATTAGATTAACAGACAACCATATACTGTGATAATTGGGTACTAGAAAAAATAATAGCTAAATCTATGGTGAATAATGAACACAGCATCTGAGTTATGTTGATACATGAAGAACAAAGTATTAAAATGCAGGAATATGAAAGTTTAGTGAGAAATGAAAACCAGTTCACAAGGTGCATAACCTACATTATGGTGATTCCCCTACTTCCAAATAGAACAGAATAAACATCCGTGGAAATGGTACCACACCTACCTGAGATTCTGGCCTGATGGAGTTCAAAACTCTCACTGTGAAATTCCAGATAAAACACTATGATATCACAAAGCTCTCTTTTAGTCATCAAGACAAAAATAATTCCATACCCTATAGGATGGGCCAAATTAGCCCCATTCTTTATGTATATAATGCCAACTTGGGTGTCTCTGACATTTTTCGAAAAAATAAATCAAATCTCGAAAAATGGCATTAGACTACATTAAAGTAATCCAGGAATAGCCTCAATGGCAGCTAGCATACAAGAGAAATTATCAAAAATATTAAAAACATCCCTCAGATGAAATACAGCTATTGGTTTGTCAAATGTGTTCTTTTTCTTTATTCAAGGGATCAGAAATAGTTAATTCAGATAGAACGGACATTGTGTATTTGTACTTCAGCTCTAGAATTAGGTTAATTGGTCCTTCTGAAATATGAACAGGTCTGGACCATGTAAACATCTTGAAGAATATGATATTGTAACAATAGATTCATGCTAGTTGTGCTAAATGGAGAAGAAATGGCTTGTGTATCAAAGACCTTGTTAAACCTGGGTTTATAGCTCAGCACCAAAGCGCCTGCCTGGTAAGCACAAGGTTATAAGTTTGATCACCTGTACTAAATAAATAAATAAATAAATAAATAAAAGTCCTTGTGAAGACGTGCTTCAAAAGATGGGCTATAAACTCTACAAATACTCAAATATCATGTCTGTACAATTTTAGTGCTCTAGTGGTCACAGACATTCCAGGACATCCCTTATGAAATAAAAAGATTAATAACTATATTTTGCATTCCTATCCTCAAACAGCAAAATAATACTCCTTTGGGCTAATGGGATAATGTGTAAAGCCATATACCAATGTGATGTAGAAGCTTCAAATGGGGCACAAAATAAGAGAAGCTCTACCAAGGTGAAGCAGCTTTGCTCCTGGGAACATATAACAAGATAGACTTATAAATAGCAGTTGTAGGAAAAGATATCTTTTGGGTTTATGACTAGCCCCAGTACAATGTTCAAAACACAGACCCCTGAAGGTCGTGCTCTCAACAGAGACTTCAATATCTAAAAACCATCTGATCTGCTGCCTCCTAAGCCTCACAGAGATGCAGCATCTAAGTTACCACAAAGCTTCAGTTCCCCAGGTTTAGCTTTATTTTGTCAAACTCACGAAGTCATGAGGTCAGCTGCACCCAGAAACAATATATTTTAACGAAAGCGGTAAATCAAGAATGAACCACAATGTTGACCCAATTCTGGACAACTCTGAAGGAATACTCACACGCTAGGACAACTTTTGCAGTCGACTGTGACTGTTATTGGTCCTGCATAAACCATTCCTAAAAATTAAGCACTCAGTAAACTAAAATCTTTAAAGTCAGCTCCTAGAGGAACTCAACCTGGAACAATATTTTACACTCAATTTAAAATGTTATTTTTAAAATAAAATCATTGGGGTTGGAGGAGCAGGGGATATAATCCAATGGTGGAGCTATTCCTAGCATATGGGAGTCCTTGGGTTCAATCCACTAAATAAATAAATAAGCAAATAAACAAATTAATGTTAAGGTTATTTCGTGTCATTATTATCCTACTCTGTGGACTAGAGAAATATTTTGGAAAGAAACATCAC